GGCAACCATCAAACCATACCGGCGACTCACGCATTTAAAATTCATGGTCAAGATTTTGACGTGACCAATTTGTTATTTTAGTGGAGAGGTTAGGATGGCAGATCGATTCAATGTTTTCACTTGCGTTAAATTTCATTTATCGAGTAATAGCGTGATTTGGATTGTCAAGGGATAAGTTCCTTAAAACATTCTGAAAAACTGGGAGTCAAATCCCGCGCTTTACGGACACCTGCTTAATACATACGGACAGTTTGCTTTGTCTTCGGGGAAAGAAAGCCCTTACATTTACCCTAAACTCACCCCGAGTTCAGAATACGGACACCGACTTAATCTCTATTGCCCCCTTATTATAGTGTCTGTATTAACGGGTTTTGTATCTCTGATATGATAACAAAAATCATTTTCGAGCTTTCGGATTCGGTTTTAACAGATTGAAAATGCTACTTTCCGGTGCCTTCTATCCGATAACTGATATGTGCAGGTGTAGAGTGCTGATCAAAGAGTGAAATCTCAAAAGAATTAGTTACCTCTCAGAGGGTAGACATCTTCGTCTCCTGCCAGTTCTTTAGCGCTGAGTCCAGAGCAGTTAAATATCAGCTGAGCTTTGTATTTCCTTTTCAAGTCTTCAGCTTGATCTCTCAGCAGTCCTTTAATTTCATCGTGTACAAAGCGACAGCCCTTATCTTTACACTGTTTGTAAAGCCACTGCATGTACACAACTGTGTCAACCATAGGAGCCATGTGCTGGTATGCGTCCACCACTCCCGTGTCTGTGTTCACCGCTAAAGGAGAGACCGAAATACAATGTAATTAGCGATCAGTTAGCATTTAGGGTTTAGAATAATTGAAAAGAGAATCATCACTTTTAACTACCAAATACTTTGGTTATCCACACTATAGGAAACTATGGAAGATTTGTCTGGAAAAAGTAGAATAAAGGAGATGAAAAAAAGAAAGACGATCGCAAAATTAATGAATCAGCGGCGTCAGTGTTCAGTTAAAGACAGGTCCTAAAGTACAGCTCCTAAACAGATGATTTAATATTTTGAAGAGTGAAACTGAAACTGAAAGACTTCACACTTTTTTATGAGACTTAGATTGATGAAATAATACTAAACAGAGAAGAAACTTCTAAAAAATAGATCAGCTAGTAATTTCTGGGCGAAGAGATGTCCACTTACCGGTTTCTTCGATAAGTTTTGCGTCATGACGAAATCCTGGCAAATGACAGAGTTCGCTCATTTTCTCCAATTGTGCTGGAAGATCTTGAACCTTGTCCTTGAAGTAGAAGACCGATTGCCTGAGGTACGCTCCAGTTTCTTTTGGTTTCATAGCCAATTCCATGAACTTTCCATAGCTGTCCATACACCACACCTTGGATCTCTCAAGTGACTTCTCATCTGTGTGCCGTCCGCACACCGCAGGAGGCCATTCCCACAAAGCACCGGCGATCTCGGAGGTGATGCATTTACCAGAAGCGACAGGTGAAGCGAACTCCTTTGCTACAACTGTAACCTTATATCCTTTTTGTAGAAGCTGTAATGCTGACGTCACACCTACAACTCCACCGCCGATCACCAACACTCTAGGGATACGTGATGGCTTCTACATAAAGAACAAAAAGCGGATACAAAAGGGTTAATCATCATATAACGTTTCAAAGGAGGGATGAAGTCGTTAACGGTTAGATAGATACAAAACAACAAACTAAACAGAGTAAATGCTGCCTTCTAGCCAAGTTTGGAGTGTAAAGATTGAAAACATGAAAAAAAAAACGTTACGCGCTGCGCTCGCTTCGGTCAAAAGTGCCCCTCAGCACTGAGTAAATTATAAAATTCTGGCATTTCAGCAAAAATGCGCCATCTGAACTACCGCCGGGAACCAGGTGTCCTTTTCAAATTCACTCATCACTCATATTATTAATTCAAAGAGAAAATAAAAGGTCTTTGTCCTTAGGTTAGAATCCTCAATTTCTTTGAGTGAGGGTAACTGAATACAAAATTTTCAAGTGAAAATGAGTTTACTTGCATGATCGAGGACATCCAATTTCAGCCATCAATGGTTCTGCACTTAACAGTAGCCGGTAGACAACTCAGAAATTGCCTTATAAAAGTTCAAGAAAATAGGCTATGAACAGCTGTTAAATATGCAAAACAAGAAATATTTAGCCTCCTAAAAACTAGCATTAAGTTTCTTACCTTTGTAGAACGAGAATTTCTCGGGACCGACATTTCTTGAACTGTTACTGGCATTTTTGTATCTTGATTTCTTGAGTCGTTTTCTCTTCACCTTTACTTGCACAAATGAATAGAACTGTTTCTTAACAGTTTTTCCCTGATATTTATATGGTTCAGGCTTAAGTGTGACGTGACTCACTGGTGACTCTCCAATAGATCTGTTAATCAAACCAGTCAACCGGAATATTTGCACTTTGTGGCAACCTACGTAACAAAAAATGCTGACTAGTTATGAAATATGGTGACCACATCACGTAGATACGTTCAAAAAATCGTGAGGTGTGAGTTTTCCATGGACGGACTTTCTTTATATATAAGCAAGAAGTCTAAAACGATTTCAAACTTAAATTAGGAGAAGAGGAAAGTGTCATATGTTGAGGGTCTGTGGGAGGGTTTCGAGGGCAAGACCTCTGATCCAGTTAATTTTTGCCCCCGATAGGGTTGATAGGGTCAACTAATATTGGAACGCTGGGCCAGCTGCTTTGAGTGCTTGTGAGTGTTAGCTTTTTTTAACCTTTCAATTACTCTCCAAATAAATAACAAAAAACTCTCAAGAAGCACCGGCTGAATTTATTAAGTGTGTTGGATTTCGTTTGTTTTTCGAGCACTCTCCTATTAAGTGATTTGCAGAATTTTCGTCCGTTGACTCTGTTGGGTGGCTTTGCCTTCGGACCGGCCAAAAGTCAAGAGACGCCTTTAATATGTTGAAGTTTCAATCTTATCTGCGGTTTTCCCAAACATTTTCTCAAAATGACTACCTCGGGCAGACGTGATTTCGTAGTTGTAAAAATCCATTTCAATGTCACGATTTTTGTTCTCTTTCGAATTCTCGGAAGTAGCGGAACAAAAAAGCAGGAACCGGACGTGCGATCGATAAGTAAGAAACAGAGAAACGTGAAAGTGTGATCGATGTTGTCACATCATCGCCTGCTGGATGGGCCAACATAACAATTAAATTTCGGTGAACAAAAGGAATGCTGGAGTGAATGACGTGAATTCATGAACATCCGAGACTCCAGTTGTTCAAAAGGTGGATAACGCTATCCATCAGACACTAAAGGGTACCCAACTACTGTTTTCTGTAAAATATCTGTTCGGAGAGGCAAAAATTGCCTAGAATTTTCTATAGCTTGAGGAAGGCTAAAAGCTTTTAGGTCGAATACCGTTCCATTCATGCAACTGATTTTCGAAGCTTATCTAATAAATGCCCTTCTATTTTCTGAATCTTAATTTTTCACATTCCACTCCTCACCTGAAGCTATTTTCCTAGAAAAAGGAAACTTCAAATTTTCGGATTCGAAAATGCGATGGAGAGAGGAAACAGAAAGATTCTTATTTTCGTAAAACTTTAAATTACTTCTAAAATTCTCGGGAAAATTATACCGAAGCCCTTGGGTCACTTTAGATCACTTTTGAAAATGTATTTTGAACAGCATACGAAACGTCAGGTTTATAAAAATGCGAAAGTTGACAATGTTTATCACCGCTGTTTGTGTTTTCAATTTTTGATCAAGTGGGGCCAGATTTTCCTTTCCATTTCATTATAAAGATTTCTTTGACACAGACAGTAATGTTTTAGTTAAAAATGGTTCACAGACCAAGGTATCGCAGGGATTAGTGTTTCCCCGTGATGTTCATGTCCCGGGTTTTGCATTTATTTATTTGGGACCGAGGGCCGAAGAGGAAAGAATGCCTTCCTTTTTTTTCTTTCTCCGTCCGCTGACTTTCCCTCTTTCACGAGAAAATAGAACGCCTGATCGCAGGTTTGTAGATCCACAACTTAGATCAAGTACATTACACAAGTCTTCACGTCTCCCAATATATTTTTGATAGGTTCTAAAGCTATTTTGTATCGTTAAAGGTTCCCTGGGGGTACTTCTTAGTAATGGGCGAATGGTGATGTGCCGCTGGATGGGGTCGCATTTTTACGGCTGGATCAATGGGGTTGCATTTTTATTGGAGTCACTAGAATGGGATCGTACATTTTCTGGATTTGGGAGATCAGAAAATTCAGGTGGGTAGGGATTTTAAAATGGGAAGAATTTTTCTTTATTAAGTTTAACCAATGTGTCAAGTCATTGCAGAATGGCCTAGTTCAGGCTTTATAAAGTAGATGCATAAACAGAAAGTTACTAAGTTGGGATCGCGAAAATTACATTTTCCCAAAAGTGACTAAAAGATAGGGTCTATATTAGGCCACTGAATAGACTATAATAGGGTACGGGTTTTAAGAGACTAGTGGCAGATATGGGAAAAGGTTATCTAGTCCACGGTGACAGCAATGGTCCTTAAAAGCTGTTAAAAGACTTGATACCACACGGAATGCTGTCCATAATGGTTAACGTTTTGAAACGTTGTATGAAAAATTGTTGCTTTTTCACAGTTATATCGTCCTTGCTTTCTCGATCTAAAAATGATCCGGAAATGTATTTTGTATCCCTCCCACGTAGACATTCTTTTGCACTATCATGACATAATCTCTGCTCGTCGCGTCCTTTGGGGAGAAAAGATTGCGTGACGCGTGTGGCGTAGAATTAATAAGGGGCAATTATCAAGTTTATTAAGATATTTAAGTCATAAGTGAATCCAGGGGAAACGTGTCCGCCTCAAATCTGATGAGCGAGCACGCGTCAAAGACGAGGGACCTTAAGCCTCGTGCACCCCGGCATGCACTCGGAATTGAAACCATAGACTGAAATGGCCATTTCTTTGATCGGTAAAAATTTTGACTTTGGAGGCTTCCCCTTTATTCCATTCCATTTATAATTTTTGTTAAAGATGTTGTAACATTTGGGAGCTTTAAAAGCATCGACGGCGACGAACGCGAGAACGAGTTTAGGTTAGCAAAACAACTTTACACGTGTATGAGGCTTTTTAAGTGACGTTTTCGCTGCTGTCACCGTCGTGATTGATCAAAATCTCTCCGGGTAGGGTACACCTGGGAATCATTGGTGGAGGTGCGCCGCCCGGTTCTCCAAATCCTGACTCTATTTCAGACAAAAAATGTCATTTTTTACACCCGTTTTCAGACCTGGCCCTTAAGAATTTTTTTCATCATTACTTAGATTAGAACAAGAGCAAAAAAGATTTCTTCAAATCCATTTCGAATTCGCATATTTCTCTTTCTTTCTAAATCAGTTGGAATTGAAACAATGAATTCGTTCATACACTCCTACGAGTTCCCTCGAGAACCATACCCGATTCCAGACCCAAATGGGCAAAGTCTATACCCGTTTTTTTAGACCAACAGCGCAAAAACCCTTCCCTTTGGGGCTGCACATACATATACGGCTTATATAAGGGAGTGCCCCCCCCCCGGACTTAAAATCCCTAACTTCAGAAGGAAGAGCGGTTAGAAATGTATCAGATCAGTAACCCTTACAATTCCGAGAAAATGACGGTCACGTAATTTTCTTTTCACATTGATTCCATTGGTAATGCCGTTGTAAGGCGCAGCTTCAAAACCCTGTTGAAAGGTTTTTTCAGTGAAGACTCCTGATAGCAGCTGAAGTTCATTTTGGACATCCAGTGGAAAAAGACAGTTTAAAACATCAAACTTCACTTTCTTGTCTGGTTCTATTTACTGTTGTAGAATAAAGATTTTTTACCAGAACAAAAGCTGAAACAGGGGCACCCAACGAGAATATAGTTCAAAACCACTTAAACATAGCATTGTTAAACGTATTTTAGTATTAAACGGTAGATAAAGGCATATTTTTATCCCCTAAAATTTTTTCATCTGTTCGGATTTCCTAGCTGAAAGTCTAGTGATCCGAAAATTATAGGGATCAAAACTTACCTTTTCGAAAATTTCAGCCAGAAACAAGGCTCCCGAAAATTCTAGGTGACCTTTTAAGGGTAAAAATCCGTTAAAAATGGGCAACTATAGTAGTTTTTAGATGTTCGAAAATCCTAGGAGAGGCAGGCAAGCAAAAAATTTTACAACAAATGTTCCGAAAATTCTAGATCTCAAATCGTCTTCCGAACAGATATTTTCCCGAAAATTGTCGTTGGGTGCCCCTGCTGAGATACCGGTGAACATCATTTACAGTAAATCTCGTTCAGTCTGATGAAAATTATTTACTTGTTTTACCGATTTAAATGTTCTCAAAACATAGCCAGTCTTAACGTCTTAATGATGCTGACAGTTTTGATGACTGTCAGCCATCTTTATCAAAAATTGGAAAACATTAACTTTTAAAAAGTGCGTTTATCGCAATAATTAACACCTTCAGAAGCCTATTTAAGGCTTCTGACACTTTTAAGACCTCTTAATGTTTTCCAAGTTTTGATAAAGATGGCTGACAGTCATCGAAACTGTCAGCATCATTAAGACGTTAAGACTGGCTATGTTTTGAGAACATTTAAATCGATATTAACTTCACTAGCCTGATGAATTTATTCAAGTATTTACTTGTTTGGGAGTTGACTCAAAGGCATTTTGCAGCCTTTACCTAAAAATAGTACCCTTGGAAAAGCTTCACTTTTTAAAAAAAGTTAAAAAGGATAACAATATTTCTGTAGCTGTGTCATCGTTGATAGACATATGACAGTCAGAGATATCATAATAAGTGGAAGCTCTCTAGGAGTACAAAGAAACATCAGAAGCAATTGCAATATATTTTTTTTATCGTGATCGCTGAATCATTCCGTTACAACCGCTTGTCTAATCTCGCGCGACGTCAAATGGGATTATCATCGTTAATCACGCGTGACGTAGTCTCTTCAAGAGACTTCAATTAAAACTTATCACTCCGCATGAAGTAGTTTAACTTGCTTTAAAATATAAAACAAAAAAAGTCTAGTTATCCATCCATTTTTCTTATGTTTCTATTCTTTGTTGTTAATGAGGTTTTAATCGAAGAAGTTTTAAAAGACAGTTTGAAGTCAGAAAACGTGTTCTTGACACTAGTCGTTCAAGGTCACGTAATTTGCAGAGAAGCGGAACAGATGCTTCTGTAATAAGGCCATCTTAAAGGACTGTCAAAGTTGAGAGGGCAAATGCAAACTTGAATCATGATTTCAAGTTAGGCCAGTGTAAACCTAGCCAAGGGTGTTATCCGTTCCAACAGTTGAATAATGTAGCTTTTTACAAACTGTATATGCCTAATTATCGGAATAAATGTTTCCTTGGTGACAATGGTATATTACTGTTCTGTGATCATAGATCATCTCACAAAAAGGAAACTACAGGTTACTTTGAATGGGGAACATTTGGAACAAACTGCATTGTCATGGCACGTTCCAGATGTGAGCCGGACGTTTCATTGACGTCACTCTGACAAAAATGAAATTTCTTGGAATGTTCAAAACTGATTGTTTCGGTTGCCTATAAAATGGGATCATTTTGGATCAGTACAGCATAAATCAGCTTCAGGACTCAAGAAGGAAGAAACTCAAAGTTAGCTCAGCAGATTTACACAATTTCTGACAAAGACAACCAAGGCTGGAAAAATGGCATTACCCTTCACAAGAACGTTTGAGAACAACAAAAATCTAGAGGTAATGAGACAGATTTTTTTCTTTTTATCAAATATTCTTTTTTACTTTTAAAAGCTAGAGTGGACGAAATTGGACCTGCAAAAATTAAGCTTGCCTCGTAGCTTGAAAGAAAAATCGATTCTCTTTGTAAAGATAGATCTACTCCTTCATATCTCACAATTGTCATGAATTCAGCTTAATGTTAATAAACTCTCAGTGTTGTACCTAAAAAGGTGCTAAAACAAAATTTGCTCAAGACCCAGTATAAGCAGCTTTGTTTTTGGCGTTAAGCTGAGGTGGATGGAATTAGAGGAACAATAACGTTGCTTTGGTAGCTTGTGGGACAAACGGTCATAAACGTACGGTGACCGTTCTCATTGTTATATATGAACAGAACAGGAAGGAACAGAATCTGACTAAGTGGTCCGGTAAAAATTCAAACTTTTACTTCCAGTTACAACGCCCGATTTTCCTGACATCGACTTCTGAGGAGTATCAGCAGCCCAACCTTGTAAATATCGGTTCTTGTTCATGAAAAGCTATGAAAATTTATCTCCTTTATATTTTGTTTCAGAACACACCAAAAGTGCCTCACATTCTCGTGATCGGTGGCGGAGTAGTTGGGATAACCAGTGCTTTACAATTACTAAACAAGGGGTAAGTAACCCTTAGAAAAAAAGCAAAAGTTGAAAATAGCTACCTTTTATAACAAACACTGTCGAGAGGTTCCTTAATTTTCTTAAGTTTGGTTCCTCCGTTCGAATTAAAATATTTCGAAAAGATCCGTTAACCACAAAAGTTTTATTTTCATACGGATGAATCATTGACATTGAATCTATTTCCTTGTTGGAATACTTACAAAAAAAATGGCAATGAAGAGCGTAACTAATATCTTAAACTTCTTTGACGACAAGTTATTCAGTAGTTTTTGAAATCAAAACTGACTGATTTAATTCAAATCAGCCATTGTCACAAGTGAACAAAAGAAACTCATGGAATTACAGTGTAATACTACTATCATCTGTTTCACAGATTAAGTAAAATCATTGAAACTTAAAGCAGTGAAATAAATCTATCAAAATAGGAAAACACTTCATTCCCCTAATAGATTCAGTGGTTTTCCGTTGAATTGACTTTGCGGCAAAGGAAAAAATTCCTTCGTGTTAGGGACCAGAGAAAAATGTTGACTCACCTAACCATATTACGCATGCGCTTTTTTCCTTGACACTTAAACTTAAATGTTCGATATTATTTGTCATACAGTAATTCTTTGAGCGACCAGACACGTTGTGTGTGAACGCAGTGTTTTCCTTCGGATGAAGAGCATTCTTTATTTGCCTCCAGTTCAATTACCCCTATTTCGCATAACTTAATTTATGATTATAGTGTATATTCATTACTCTTAATTAAGTCATACCTATTATTTTTCTTAGGTACAAAGTCACAGTTGTAGCAAAGGAGTTCGCCTCACCAGTCGCTTCTGGTAAATGCATCACCTCCGAGATCGCCGGTGCTTTGTGGGAATGGCCTCCTGCGGTGTGCGGACGGCACACAGATGAGAAGTCACTTGAGAGATCCAAGGTGTGGTGTATGGACAGTTATGGAAAGTTCATGGAATTGGCTATGAAACCAAAAGAAACTGGAGCGTACCTCAGGCAATCTGTCTTCTACTTCAAGGATATGGTTGAAGACCTTCCAGCACAGTTGGAGAAAATGAGCGAACTCTGTCATTTGCCAGGATTTCGTCATGACTCAAAACTCATCGAAGAAACTGGTGAGAGTTCGTATGGCTCCCTATCTCCTCTTCGGTGGCATATTTGGTGCCGCAAAGAACCTAAAGAAAGGCAAAGAGAGCGCCAGGAAAAGAAAAAGCGTCTTTCCCTTTCTCGCGTGCGCTCAGTTTTATTAACACATTTTTTTTGTTTAATGCTCATAAGACCCTCTTCGGGCAAAGGTCCCTCCATATCTTACCTTTTAACAACTTCAACGAACCCGTTATTTTTACGCGCTGTTGCGCTTCACCTCAATAGCAGTTAAGAATTTCAATAGTCTTCTACGTAAGTAAAGGTTCGGCAAAATGGTACATGTTCCAGACAAATCCTCAATAGTTTCGTCTACTGTGTAGTTCCAAAGTATTCATTTAGAATTTATAATTCCCTTGTCAATTATTCTATGCATATAGATGCTAACTGATCGCTAACTATTTTTCTCCTTTAGCGGTGAACACTGACACGGGTGTGGTGGACGCATACCAGCACATGGCTCCTATGGTTGACACAGTTGTATACATGCAGTGGCTTTACAAACAGTGTAAAGATAAGGGCTGTCGCTTTGTACACGATGAAATTAAAGGACTGCTGAGAGATCAAGCAGAAGACTTGAAAAAGAAATACGAAGCTCAGCTGATATTCAACTGCTCTGGACTCAGCGCTAAAGAACTGGCAGGAGACGAAGATGTTTACCCTCTGAGAGGTAAATAATTCTCCCTTTTAATTTATTGCATTTTGTAATATAAACATCTCATTTCCCTCTTACCCCCAAACACACATTTCATCTAAATTCAAGCAGTGATCGCATTCTAACAGGACCGTTTTTATTGGAATCTCAGGTTGTATTCTTAAAGTTAGAAATGATGGAAGCTTGATGCCCAAACTCAACCATTCCATGTGCATCTCGCTGATCGAGGACATTGACGAGTCCAAAAAAGACGGACAAAGCTTTGTGTTCATCCTTCCAAGAGGTGAAGACAAACTGTGGTTGGGTGGCATGGTACAACCCTACCAATGGGACAGAAATCTCACGCTCGATTATCCACCAATCAGAAGAATGTTTGACAAAGTCAAAGAGTTCTACCCTCCACTTCGTAACTATGGAGACGAAGACGTGGAAGAAGTGTTGGTAGGACTGCGGCCCGCTCGTAAAGGCAACGTTCGTTTGGAGTGGGATCCTGTGTGTCCGTCGATTCTGCACAACTATGGACACGGAGGGTCGGGTGTGACTTTCTCCTGGGGATGTGCTATAGAAGCGAGTGCCATGGTGGATCGTGTTCTCAAGAGACCACAGATTTATCTGTCAAAGCTTTGAGCATTTGTTGTTGAGTTTTCAATGTACCCTTTCTTTCTTGAGACTGAACGTTTAACTAGAAATAAAAGAAATGAAAAAATGCTGGTTATAAAGAGAAATCTAGCAAATTAACACGTATTTATTGACGTCTATCTCTATGGCTAATATCTCGTATTTTTGTCATTGTGAATTATTGCATGCTTTGTAAATATAAAAAAGTTCTATTCGCAAATTAATTATAGCTATGGTGATTATCTATTTTTGAGATTTAATTTATTGAATGCTTTGTAAATATAAAATAGTTTTATTGGTAAATATTTAATAAAAGTTATATGAGTTCACTTTGATTTTGATCATTGACCTCAGGACAAGGCAAAATCCTGGTACGATTCGTGTGCCATACACGTAAGCATAGATTGAGGAGGGCACGGACTGTGCGTGGTCTCAACGGTACAAGTTGTACTGACGGGTCTGCTTCAGTTTAGAGTCTTTGAAGCCATCAATGGCTGAGGGTCTGGGCCCGGTTGCATAAAACCTACACTTAAGTGCCCACTTAAGTAGGTCACTTACGAATCCGTCATGGGTACACTTACCGGTGCTGCATGGAACGTACTTAGCACTCTCGTAAGTTACTGTTTTACGTGGTAACTTACGGGCTCACTTAAAGGCACACGTAACCTTGATATAGTACTTTATTAATGACTCACTCTTTTTTTTTAAGCTAACCATTGTTGAGTGTAAAGAAAGTTTTAAGTCGTTTCGAACACTTTTAAGCCTGTCAAAAAAATGAAATTTGCATGCAGACGTTATTTTTCTTCAATATCTACTGAAAATGTTAGTTCTTCTTCCTTTTTCACAACGCCGGCTTTAAAGTGTACATCAGAGGTTAACAAAGCGCTAAAATATATTGGAGCATTAATTGCAATTTAAGCAGGTTTTTTCGTGTTGGTAACTAGTTTTGCTGTTTAGAGAAAACATTATTCAAGAGAGAATGAGCTTAGCTGAGCTCATTCTCTTTTGCATTATTGTATTGTCTTGACAGATTTTCAACTCGCAAAATCTCAGCCTTGAGTTTATTCATATTATTTTCTAAAAAAATTTCGCAGATATCAGACTTTATATTCTTTTTTAATATATTCTTATATATGTAAAGAGTTTACCAACTGATTTCAAATCTTAATCGTTATTCATCCAGTAGCACCTGTTAGAGGCACTTTCATTTAGCTCAGTACTATTTTGATCAAAGAGTTGTGGCGTTGTGCACTTCCTAGAACTCAGTACAGTCACCTAATTTTCCCTAGTTGCGATTTCAGGCACTGAAATATGGAGAATTCATTAAATTATAAGCTGTGAGTAGTCCCTCATTTTCCTCTGGGGTATTTGACCCGAGTGGCGCCGATTTTTACGCGTGCTTGCGTATTTTGTTGGCTTTACTCAGTATGAAACCCTGAAGAAAATGAGCGTCCGATAGTCAAGTTAAGCTCTCGATTCAACTTAAAATAAAACAGATGCATATGAGACTGCAACTTTTCAGTGACACCTGTTTTAAGCGGACATCCGAGGATTCCCTTTTGGAATGTACTAATACAGGTTTGGATAGAGAAAGTAAAATGAGATATCAGATACCATTCTAAAAAATAGTGGAAACGTGGAATACTCCAAAGACTATGACGATATACGTTTGAATTAATTTCTTTAAAGTGGACAAATTGACGAAAAGACTTTAAACGAACAATGCACCTCATATTTCAAGAGATCAAATGAGTAAAACAAGCTATATACAAACAAAACAAAATAAGAGATCAGTACTCTAAAACTGACCTGCGGTTAATGAAGGCTGCGAGTACGTGTTGCAAGGTGATCGAAGTTCCTTGTAAATGGGTTAAAAGATAAACTTCCTGTACCTGTATGCATATCCGGTTTCTTTTTTTCTTGCGCATTCAACAATGTTGACGCCAATTAAAACAGTATAAAATATAGTTTTATTGGTAAATATTTAATAAACGTTGTATGATTTCGCAAATCTCGTGTAATTTTAATTGACAGTGCGAGGCAAAATCCGGGTACAATTCGTGACACATACACCCGGGCAAATAGGGAGGAGAGAACGGAGCCAAGTATGTATTAAATTGGAATTCTTATTTTGTGGGGTAAAAAGACAGAATGTGTCAACTATTTCAGTATTATAGTACACCCGACCTCAACTGACAAGCAATATAAGTTACAGTCTGCGATCATGCCCGCCCTATATTTCCATTCATGTCTTCTCAAAAACGGGAAAAAACCCCTGCATGATCAGAGGTTTTATAAGGAAAGGAACACAATCAATGGAAATTCTGCGTGTATACGTCCGGGATCTGAGAGAGATAAAAACCAGTAGTAAATTACAGACAAATCAGCAATGTTGTTATATCACGTTGAAATTAGCCTTAGTGCTAAACAACAAACCCGATAAAAAGCCCTTTTTATTTTGAATTGTACAGAGTGTGTTTCACGTTCGCGTATTTTTACAGCTTTTTTTGCCCATCTTGCGGGGTACTGATAAAATTACCGAAAGCAACTGTCAACGGCTACAACCTTGCTTTTTTAATCCTCTATCGCAGTAAATTTATGCGGGTTTTCACCGGGTGGATTAAGCTTTTTTATTAATTTTTTTTAAGTCAAGCAATTGGTTCTCTTTTTAAAGTTTATTGTTTTTTGCTGGATAACCTGAGTCTTTTCTCCAAATCCTTTTTATCGAGGAAACAGGTTTTGAAGTAAATTGGTGAGTAAAATAATGTCGTGGTATGTCACAAGGTCAGAAGGCTGATTTCGGTGGCGATTTCGCAAGGCTGACTTTGCCGTTTTTTTTTTACGTTTTTTCCTCAAAACGTGATCTTTTGTAATAGAAACGCTCCAGGAAATAGCGACATGATTTATCAATTCAGATTATTTCATTGATGCAGAATTTTTATGGCGGAAACCACGTTCTACTGTGCAATTGAAATCGAATTCTTTTCAACAAAGAACGTTTGAAGAGAAAAGCAGAGCACAATATAGGGTTGAAAATGATGAAATGAGTGATATTGGGAGACTGAAATATATAATAACTTCAGAAAAACCTGGATGATGTTTCTAGTAAAAAGATCTCAGTAGGTAACAAATTTTAACCAAGCTTAACAAATCAGTCATGATCACGATACGAAGGTCTACGAGGGAGTCGTGATCCTTAGGAAATAAGGATTTACTCTGAATATAAAAACGTTTAACGATTCAGAAAGAGCTGACAGTAACCTCTCTGAAAATTTCCCGTTTCATTCATAGTTTACTTAGTTCCACCAAGAGAGAATGAGCTAGATCATTCTCTCTTGGTTCCACTGTTTGGCGGCCACTTTGCTGAAAAACCTTTTAATCATTTTTCAGTTGTGAACGAAAAATATCGGTGTTGGAGTTGTAGGTATGGCGTCAGCATTACAAGGTTATATAATCTCCTGCCGGAGTCACGCAAGCTCCCTGCCCCTACGCTCTAAGCCGAAAATGGTATGCCTGTGCTGTAACGAGTGTTGTGACACAACGATGCCATAGCAACAGTTCAGAGGTAAAGATGGCGGCGAGCTCAAAACTAACGAGCCGTTCATCGTGAAGGAATTTTAACCGAATTAGAAGGCACAAGACTGATATAGCTTAAAGCACAAATACAGTACTTTTTACAAGAGCTCAAGCTAAACTCGCCAGCATGGATGATACGCGTATAGAGTGGATTAGAAACAAGATTCTTATCCGGTTTCTTTTTTTCTTGCGCATTCAACAATGTTGACGCCAATTAAAACATCTTTTGAGAAGTCTCGTTTTTGATTGAAAAATCGAAAATTGTGTGGGCGGAGATCTTTAGAATTTTCCAGTGCCCGGCGTGTTAAATGGTGGAATATAATAAGTGTCAGTTTGATGGAGATTTGTTACATAGAAATGACCACTGTACTTTATTCACTTTTTAGGTGTCCTCGTCCGATTTACAGAGTTGTCCGCTTAACAAGGGTTTCATTAACAGTAAAGATAAGGGAAATAAATTTGAGGATTTTGGCTACTGTCCTCTTAATAGAGGGTGTCCGCTTAATACAGATTTCATTGTACGTTAAATAGTTACATTGGGCGTTTCCTGTTCCCTTGCCGAGTCACGAAAACTTGCAGAAATAAAATAACATTGACAAAGAAACGTGTAGTTCAAAAATCTTTCTTAAACTTTTGCTAACTCCGGTATTAGGCAATAATGCAACAATGAAAGGCGCATGGAGTCGTCTGCAGTATTTTTACTATTATCCCGTACCATTTGAATTGTACCGACTTTCCTTTTTTCATTAAATCCCCAGAAGAACTAACCTTCCCGCAGACGTTCTTTGGCCGGTTCGTTCGTCACGGATTCATTTCTCCACCACGGACGGCTGTGCTTAGCAGATGTCCGTGGGGGAGAAACAATGCGTGACGAACGAACCGCAACGGACGTCGCGAGGAGGCTACCGAAGAAGAACGGCTTGTCGGTGCGAAATATCGGCAAACCACAAATCACTTGAGTCTTTGCTGTTTTGTTATTTTAAATATTTAAAATTATGATCCAGTCTTTTGTAGACAATTAAAGGCCTACCCAGCTTTCACAGTTTATCCGGACTTTTCGCATTTAAACCGCACGCCTTTTTTCCTTATCAACAAAGAATTATCTCCTTTTTACACGTATCACACAGTGATCTGTTTCTTTCACAAAATGTGCGTACTAACTCTTGCTGTCTCCAAATTTAGTACAAACTTACCTGAGGCCTGTGCAAAGGGCAGTGTCTTAGTTTTCGTGATTGATTTGGTTGAAACTTGTTGATTGAACATGTTTTGTTAGTGTGTGTGGATCTCTGGGGCCTAAAATTATAAATTGTAGGCTCCTGGACATAAAGAAAATATCTTAGATTTTTTTATGCTGTTTGGTGCCATATAACTTGAGTCTTTTTTTAAATTCTTCTTATCAAGAAATATTTTGGAGATTTTAAAGTGTGTGTTAAAATTGTCACGATTACAATTTGCCTACTTCCTAGTCTGACGTGACGTCAAAAACACTCATCGTCGTTAATCACGCGTTAAGTAAAATGCTAATAAGTTCAAGAGAGTTCAATTAAAAGTTAACTCTCTGTTTTTATCTAATTGTTAAAAAAATGAAACAAGAACTCTCGTGTATTTTTATCTTTTGTATGTTTTCATTTTTTTTGCAAATTGGGTTTTGATCAAAGAAGGTGACAAGGTGCACAAGTCACGTAATTTGCGCAGAAGCGGAACAGATGCTTCACGAATTAAAACTCATCACTTACGCAGGCCACGAGATAAAACGAAGGGTAAAGGCAAACTTGAATTATGGTTTCTAGTTAGGCCCTTGGAAATCTAAAAGGACAAATGAATATTGATAGGACATTCTGAAATGGAGTTATTCCTTCTTAAAGTTGAATGATGTGGCTTTTCACAAAATGGAATGAGATTTGTATGCTTAATTATCGGAATAAATGTTTCCATGGTAACAAAGTTATATCGGCTGGTCTATAGATCATCTCATAAAACACCAGTGGCCACTTTGAATGTGACTGGACGTACTGCATTGTCATGGCCCGCCCTAAATGTGAGCCGGACGTTTCACCTTTGACGTCACTTTGACACCACACGAAGTTAAACGATTGCTTATAAAATGGGATCATTTTGGATATACAGCATAAACCAGCTTCAGGACTCAAGAAAGAACAAAATCAAAGTGAGCTGAAGAGAACAGCCTTGAAAAATGGCATTGCCCTTTACGAGAACGTTTGAGAACAAGAAAAATCTAGAGGTAACGAGAAGACTTTTTCTTTTAAAATGAAATTTTATTATTTTTGCCTTAAGCTAGAGTGGACTAAATTGGACGTGGAAAACATAAGGTTTTTTGTTATCTTGGAACAAAAATCGGGTGTCTTTGTATAGATTTACTCTTTCACTAACGCACAATTGTGATCAAGTTCAGTTCAATGCTAATATATACGCTCTCAGTGTTATGCATAAGAACGCGCTAAGAACAAAATCTGCCCAAGACCCGGTAAAAGCATTGTTTTAACGTTAAGCTGAGGTGGATGGAATTGGAGGAACACAAACCCTGTTCTCGGTAGCTTGGGACAAACCCCCGGTTACTCTGTATCTCCTATTTCCTAAAAAAAAAAAGTGGGATAAATTCATTCAATGCGGTTTAATAATAATTTCTCAATGATATAGAAGATGCTAGGAAAAGAATCTGACCAAGACCCGATAAAAACATGTTATTTCCAGCTACAGGGCCCGTTATTACCCTGACTAATCAACGGTTATGTATAGCAACAGCTCAACCCAGTGAATACTCTTTCAGTGTTCTTGAAAATTTACCTTTTTAATATTTTGTTTCAGAACACACCTAAAGTGCCTCACATTCTCGTGATCGGTGGCGGAGTAGTTGGGATAACCAGTGCTTTACAGTTACTAAACAAGGGGTAAGTAACCGCTAAACACAACCCGCAAAAGTTGAAAATAACCACCTCTTCTAACAAACACAGTCAAGAGCCGCTCCCTAAATTTTCTTAACTAATTTAAATTAGTTCAGTTCCGTCCGTTCGGATCAAAACTGTTGCGAAAAGATCCTGCGTTAACTCGCATTAAGTGTATTTCAATACGGATGAATAGATTGACATGGCATTTATTTCCTTGTTGGAATACAGGCAAAGAGTAATGAGAGCGTGACTAATATTTCAAAACTTCCTTGACGATAAGTTAGTCGGCGGTTTTTGAAACAGACTGTAATTTTACTTAATCTAATCTTACAGCACCAACTAAACATTTTTTAAAAATACAGTGTAATACTGCGTATCGGTCTGCTATCTGTTTTACACACAGGTTAAGTAAAATCATTCTAACGAAAAGCGGTTAGATAAATCTATAAGAATAGCATAACACTTCATTCCTCTAACAGACACAGCGATTTTCCATTCATTGGGCTTTGTTAGCAAAAGAAAAAAATCTTGCATGTGAGGGACTAAAGAAAAACGTTGACTCACCTGATATATTAGGCATGCGTTAATTTTCCTTGACACGTTACTTAAAATGCTCAATATTACTTTTCATACAGTCACTCTTGCCGCAGCCAGACACGTTCCGTGTGAACGTCATGTTTTCTTTCGGGTGGCGAGCGTAGAAATAAAGTCGTATTCTTTAGTTGCCTCCCTATTTCGCCTAGTAATTTTATTGTTGATTATAGTGTGTATTCATCCATATTAATCAAATATACCTATTATTTTTCTTAGGTACAAAGTCACCGTTGTAGCAAAGGAGTTCGCCTCACCAGTCGCTTCTGGTAAATGCATCACCTCCGAGATCGCCGGTGCTTTGTGGGAATGGCCTCCTGCAGTATGCGGACGGCACACGGATGAGAAGTCACTTGAGAGATCCAAGGTGTGGTGTATGGACAGCTATGGAAAGTTCATGGAATTGGCTATGAAACCAAAAGAAACTGGAGCGTACCTCAGGCAATCTGTCTTCTACTTCAAGGATATGGTTGAAGACCTTCCAGCACAGTTGGACAAGATGAACGAACTCTGCCATTTGCCAGGATTTCGTCATGACTCAAAACTCATCGAGGAAACTGGTAAGAGTTCGTATGGCACCCTATCTAACGTGCGTTCATTTTATGAATATTTTTGTTTGATGCTCATAAGAGCCTCTCCGAACAAAAGTGCCTTCATATCTTACCTTTTAACCGATTTCAACGCTTTATATATTTGTATGCTGTGTTGCGCTTCACCTCTATGTTCTCATACGGACTTTTGACTAAAAAGACCCTGACACGCGGGGTACTGACTTACGGTTTTTTTTCCACTAAAGGTTCATCAGTGGAATGATGTATGTTCCAAATCGTTTATAGCTTCGTCTATCGTGTAGTTCCAAAATATTCAGATAGAATTTATAATTCCCTTGCAGTTATTCTATGCATATAGATGCTAACTGATCGCTAACTATTTTGGTCTCTCCTTTAGCTGTAAACACAGACACGGGTGTGGTGGACGCGTACCAGCACATGGCTCCTATGGTTGACACAGTTGTGTACATGCAGTGGCTTTACAAACAGTGTAAAGACAAGGGCTGTCGCTTTGTACACGATGAAATTAAAGGACTACTGAGAGATCAAGCAGAAGGCTTGAAAAGGAAATACAAAGCTCAGCTGATCTTCAACTGCTCTGGACTCAGCGCTAAAGAACTGGCAGGAGACGAAGATGTTTACCCTCTGAGAGGTAAATAATTCTCCCTTTAAATTTATTGTATTTTGTAATATAAACATGTCATTTCCCTCTTACCCCCAAACACACATTTCATCTAAATTCAAGCAGTGATCGCATTCTAACGGGACCGTTTTTATTGAAATCTCAGGTTGTATTCTTAAAGTTAGAAATGATGGAAGCTTGATGCCTAAACTCAACCATTCCATGTGCATCTCGCTGATCGAGGACATTGATGAGTCCAAAAAAGACGGACAAAGCTTTGTGTTCATCCTTCCAAGAGGTGAAGACAAACTGTGGTTGGGTGGCATGGTACAACCCTACCAATGGGACAGAAATCTCACCCTCGATTATCCACCAATCAGAAGAATGTTTGAGAAAGTCAAAGAGTTCTACCCTCCACTTCGTAACTATGGAGACGAAGACGTGGAAGAAGTGTTGGTAGGACTGCGGCCCGCTCGTAAAGGCAACGTTCGTTTGGAGTGGGATCCTGTGTGTCCGTCGATTCTGCACAACTATGGACACGGAGGCTCGGGTGTGACTTTCTCCTGGGGATGTGCTATAGAGGCCAGTGCCATGGTGGATCGTGTTCTCAAGAGACCACAGATTTATCTGTCAAAGCTTTGAGCATTTGTTGTTGAGTTTTCAATGTACCCTTTCTTTCTTGAGACTGAACGTTTAACTAGAAATAAAAGAAACGAGAAAATGCTGGTATATAAAGAGAAATCTAGCAAATTAACACGTATTTATTGACGTCTATCTCTATGGCTAATATCTCGTATTTTTGTCATTGTGAATTATTGAATGCTTTGTAAAAATAAAATAGTTGTATTTGCAAATTAATTATAGCTATGGCTATTATCTATATTTGAGACTTAATTTATTGAATGCTTTGTAAATATAAAAAAGTGGTTTTACAGAGAAATTTTGCAAAGTAACAAATATTTATTTTTAGCGCTAATGACTAAGATCTATTTTTGAAATTTAATTTATTGAATTCTTTGTAAATATAAGGTATAGTTTTATTGGTAAATATTTAATAAACGTTGTATGATTTCGCAAATCTCGTGTAATTTTAATTGACAGTGCGAGGCAAAATCCGGGCACAATTCGTAACACATACACCCGGGCAATGAGGGAGGAGGGAACGGAGCGTGCCTGTTTCCGAGCCAAGTATGTATTAAATTGAAATTCTTATTTTGTGGGGTCAAAAGACAGAATTTGTCAATTATTTCAGTATTATAGTAGACCCGACCTCAACTGACAAAGCAATATAAGTTATAGTCTGCGATCATGCCCGCCCTATATCTCAATTCATGTCTTCTCAATTAAAACGGCAATAAACGCCTGATCAGAGGTTTTATATGGTCGGAAAGGAACACAATTAATGGAAATTCTGCGTGTATACGTCCGGGATCTGAGAGAGATAAAAACCAGTAGTAAATTACAAACAAAGCAGCAATGTTGTTATATCACGTAGACATTAGCCTTAGTGCTAAACAACAAACCTGATAAAAAGCCATTTTTATACTGAATTGTACAGAGTGTGTTTTACGTTCGCGTATTTTTACAGCTTTTTTTGCCCAGCTTGCGGGGTACTGAAAAAATTTACCGATAGCAACTGAAAACGGCTACAACCTTGCTTTTTTAATTCTCTGTTGCAGTAAATTTATGCGGGTTTCCACCGTGTGGATTAACCTTTTTTATTAATTTTTTTTAAGTCAAGCAATTGGTTTTCTTTGTAAAGTTTATTGTTTTCTGCTGGATAACCTGAGTCTTTTCTCCAAATCCTTTTGATCGAGGAAACAAGTTTTGAAATAAATTGGTGAGTAAAATAATGTCGTGGTCTGTCACAAGGTCAGAAGGCTGATTTCGCGGGCGATTTCGCAAGGCTAACCTTGCCGTATCTTTTTTTACGTTTTTTCCTCAAAAAGTGATCTTTTGTAATAGAAACGCCTAAGAAATAGCGACATGATTTATCAATTCAGATTATTTCATTGATGCTGAATTTTTATGGCGGAAACCACGTTCTACTGTGCAAATGAAATCGAAATTCTTTTCAACAAAGAACGTTTGAAGAGAAAAGCAGAGCACAATATAAAGTTGAAAATGATGAAATGAGTGATATTGGGAGACTGAAATATATAATAACTTCAGAAAAATCTGGATGATTTTTCTAGTAAAAAAGATATCAGTAAGTAACAAATTTTAACCAAGCTTAAAAAATCAGTCATGATCACGATACGAAGCTCTACGAGGGAGTCGTGATCCTTAGAAAATAAAGATTTACACTGAATATAAAAACGTTTAACGATTCAGGAAGTAACCTCCCTGAAAATTTCCCGTTTCATTCATAGTTTACTTAATTCCAGTGTTTGACGGCCACTTTGCTGAAAAACTTTTTAATCATTTTTCAGTTGTCAACAAAAAAAACATCGGTGTTGGAGTTGTAGGTATGACGTCAGCTTTACAAGGTTATATAATCTCCTGCCGGAGTCACGCAAGCTCCCTGCCCCTACGCTCTAAGCCGAAAATAGTATGCCTGTGCTGCAACTGTGTTGTGACACAACGATGCCATAGCAACAGTTCAGAGGTAAAGATGGCGGCGAGCTCAAAACTAACGAGCCGTTCATCGTAAACGAATTTTAACCGAATTAGAAGGCACAAGACTGATATAGCTTGAAGCACAAATACAGCACTTTTTACAAGAGCTCAAGCTAAACTCGCCAGCATGGATGATACGCGTATAGAGTGGATTAGAAACAAGATTTATCTCGGACTTGGGATCACAGACCCAGAGGTGTTTGATGATCTGGTCACCCGAGAAGATGGGCAATATGAAAACGAAATACTTAAATTTCTGAACGAAACTCCAAAAGAAGGCTGCACCATGATATTTTACTCCATGTTAAAGGAGGAAGAAGAGGAAATTGAAGTTGAGGCAGGTATGTTTACCAGCTCAAAATTTAGATTTCTTTCTGGCGCCATTTTTTTTTCAGTTGAAAACAATGCAGGGGCTTTGTTGTTGCGTAGAGGATTAGCAGCACGATAGACTTGGTTTTGCCGGTTTTTTTTCTCTTGTTCTCTTAAAGATGGTTAAATGTTGCTATAGATAAGAAAGAAAACTGGTCTCCATAAACTGGAAACCATGTTGTTTTGTCTAACGTAATAATTGAACACTGTTTTTACGTCTCTCTAAACACATTGCCTTCGACCTTTTGGATTTTAACCCAGGCCTTTTATAATTGTAGTCTTTTAGTATATGGGAACATCAGTTTTGTCTCTTAAATAGCTCTACTGGGCTTTTATTTGTTGATGTGCTTGTAGAGTTTAGTTGGATCAACTACATACATGTACACTTTAAGGTCAGTAAGGAGCCACATGCCTGTATTACAGCTAGTGTCCTGCATGTTGTTTTTTACTTGTCTGTAGCGTATAGTCGTACCTCCCATAAGCAACCAACTAAAATGTAAAGATTTAGTGGTCCCTCATGAGAATCAAATGAAATAGTATCTCTTCCGAGGTGTGGACATACCTACTTTTGCGGCCTGTTGCTACTGACTTTTGCAGGGCTGTCGTTAAGGGCCTGAGGGGCGGGGGGCAGGGGATTCTAGTATGAATGTGACCCCTTTCTACTTTAATAGGAAACTAGAAGAAAAACAGAACCAAACAATATTCTTAGCTGTTTGATTTCCCACCTACTTGAATCATAATTACTGTTTACAATAATTACTAAGTTACAATATGTGCAGTTATATTCTTTCACTAAAAGTTCTTCAGGATTCACTCTGTGTAGGTAGTAGATACAGTGATTATAGTGATCAGACTATATGTCATTTCAAAATATGCAAAATTATAAATTCTTTAGCCCAAAAAGTGGCAGCAATGCAGATAAGCTGGGGTGATCATTTAGTAGAGGTTCTAAACATTATGCTTTAGCGGGAAAAATTTTGTCGCTAAAGTAACTGGATTGGTGTTTGCTTATAGGAGATAGTCACTCATGAAAAGTTGTCCGAGTTTTATTTGTATAATCGTACAGGCAAGAGAGTTGGGAGGGAGGAGTTTGGCTATCCTCCTCCTAGGAGTCTAATATTGTTTGTACATGTATTGTTTTGTCATTAGTTTTAACCATAATTTTTTGCAAACTGCATTGTCAGTAACAAAGTACGTTACTGACTTTATTTTTTGGTTCTGCAAAATTTTTATAATGTTATTGTTACTCCTACAAATGGCTAATTTCAGTAACCATTCATCAGTTTTACTGGTATGTCTAAATTTTGTACTGCTGTGTTAGTGTAGTCTATGTAATAAATAAATGTTATCTTTTTCCTCAAGAACCAGAATTGCCAGAGCTGACAGCTAGTGGTGACGAAGAAGGTGAAAAGACCTCCACAAACGATGCAGCTGAGGCAGCAGCTGAGGGGGATGAATTGGTAATGGAGAGAGTGCCATCAGCTTCTGCACGTTCTAAGGCTGCTGATGAAACCTCATCTGTCAGAGAAGGTTCCCAAGCTGCAGAAGCAGCAGCACCACAAACAAATCCTGAAACTGGAGAAGATATGCCTGCATCTGCTGCTGTGGAGGGTGCAGAAGGGGGAGGAGCAGAAGATGGAGAGGAGCATCAAACCACCCCTCCTCTCCCTCGAACCGTAAGTACAGTAGTTGTTGTCTTGACTCTTAGTATTCTCATTTATTGTAATAGTGTTACATACTTTAGATTTAAGTAAAATTAATTTTGTTCTTAATTTCAGAAAATTATCATACAGAAAGTTATAAGGACGGTAATGTATGTTTGCTATGAACATCTCCCTGACGACTTTGCTGATGAGAATGCCTTTTATTTTGTACGAAATACCACTGGTCCAGTGCCCCTGCCATCAACACTCGATGAAGCAGAAGAAATACTTCCCCCTCTATTTGAGTTTGGCTCACATAATGCAGCTTCCTTACAAATGCTTGAGCAGTTGTTAGCTCTGGTCTATATGCCGCTGCTCTCACACAATGGTCAAAGAAATGAGAGTTCATCTGATGGTGGAAGTCATAAACAAAGCAGTGTAACTGGCGATGACCAGGGCTCTGAGGAAAGCCGTTCAAGGGTCATCTTACGAGATGAATTTTTAATGAACATACAGAAATTTTCATCCCACATCAGCCGAACAATTCACCAACTGGAGGGAGACATTCGTCTTGAAATGCCTGATGTTATTCTCAGCGATGATATTGCAGAAATGGCTAAAGATACTGAACTGGTAGCCATGTTAGAGGAAACTTTGCATAACTGGGAAGTCACAATATCTTCTGCACTGGAGATCCAGTTAAAAAAGACACCACAAGGGAATGGACCTTTAGCCGAAATAGACTTCTGGAGAGAGAGAAATGCTACGTTGAGTGCGATCACTGAACAGTTAAAACTTCCAACAGTTAATAAAGTGGTAGCTATCTTGACTAATGTCCATTCTGAAAGTCTGGCAAGTTTTGAGTATCACAGAGCAGAACTAACAAAATACTACACTGAAGCTAAGGACAATGTGCGTTTTCTTTCCACTCTTGAGAGGCATTTTAAAAACTTAGCTCTTGGTGCTAGCTTCAACATTGTTTTGGAGACTATCCCATCAATGATGAATGCCTTGAGAATGGTGTGGATTATATCACGACACTACAACAGAGATGAGAGAATGGTGCCATTAATGGAAAGGATTGCTTGGGAGCTTAGTGAAAGAGTGTCCAAGATTGTCAATGTCCGCACAATTTTCAGGTAAGTATAAAAGAATTTGTTTTAAGTTGTTGAACTCTCAATAAAGAAGTTTTTTTTATAAAGAAAATGTGGTGCTGCGTTGGCGGAGATTGATGGGCTTATCAACTGGATTGAAACAAAGATTGAAAAGCTTGCATTAGTAATGTTCTTCATGACGTAGTTCTTCAACTGAAGGCTCCTGGCAAAACTATCCCCTTAATGATTATTATATTATTAAGATTGGGTTATGCTTAGAAAATGACCTCTCCCCCTCCCTCTCTCCCTCTCTCTCCCCCAACCTGCCCCCTCTCCTCCAGAGTAGATTTCCAATGCCCTTAACCTCTTTCTTCGTCAGAACTTTTCCTCCAGACAATAAACTCACGCTCAATAAAGAACAGAACTGATTTAATGCCTCTAACTCTCTCTTGGTAAAATTTAAAATCTCTCGCCATGCGATTTTTTTTGCTGATCGATCACAATCTTGAAACAACATCCTATAATATCCATAAACCTCAGTTCCTAGGCCCCAATGACCTCAGGGAGTGCCTGACTTGTTCACAAAGGAAAACATGCAAACAAAACATTATTAACATCCTGATATCATCCTACGAATTCTCACATTACTGCAAAATTCCTGTGGTGAGCATACATTTACATAATTTGTACCATTAGTCAGGGGGATAGGAATCTAGAGTGAATTTAATTTTAGTCTGGAATTTTCAATGAATTATTATGCCGAAAACCTGCCAGTTTACAGGACACAAAAAAATAATCTGTCTGGTTGTCCAGGACTAGAAAATTTTCTTGCTGGACAAGTAACCTTTTTTCCACTTGCTCAGTGGATAAGAGTCCAGGCAACGTCAACGTCTTGAAGCTAACTCAATCACTAGCTTCAAAAAATCAAGCAATGGCCCTGAGTAGGCAAAATGAGAGACCTGAATATCCAAAGGACAACCTTAACTTCAAGAATTTTTTTAGCCCTGAATTCTAAGCATTTGGTGTGACATTTTGCTTGTCCATTGATTCCCCAGGGAGCCTCCATACCTTATGAAACAAAAAACCACTGAAGCCAAGAGGACATTGGAAACATGGAAGGAATCTTACTTTGATGTGCGAGCTAAGATTGAAGCTTCTGGCCGAGATGCGAGGTGGGAGTTTGATAGAAAACGGTTATTTGAGAGAACAGATCACATGGCCTCGATTTGTGAGGATTTGAAGGAGGTGGCAACTGTCATGGAAGAGTTCTACAATATTTTTGGACCTGAACTCAAAGCTGTGACTGGCGATCCCAAGCGCATCGAGGATGTGTTGAAAAGGGTTGATGGGCTTGTTAAACCTATTGAAACTGTAAGTTAATGGTGTAGTGATTAGTAGAATGGTTTATGCCCCATTCACACCTACTCAACAAACAAATGAAAAACAGTGACGGACATGCTTTTACATGGAATTATTCAAATGAATCTTAACTTGAAATGTTACATAATTGCACTTAATTTGCCATCAGTAAAATTACAGTAAGAAACTTTAATTTATAAAGAAAACAAATTTGAACAAATGTTTAACTAAACAGCTTTTAAGCATTTTTAAGCTTTGGTGTGAAGGGACTTAAGTTGAGATGCATGTAACATAATACTTACATCAGAGTGAAAAATAACAAAACTCACTTGGTATATTTTTATAAATTGTTACACACAAGTTAAATGTGAATGCAGCTTTGATGTAATATATCAAACATGAGACACAGTGTTTCATCACCAGATGAAACACCGAGAAGAGAGTTGAAAATACGACATGCAGCGGAGTATTTTTGACAAACTTCGAGGTGTTTCATCTGGTGATGAAACAGGTTAAATGTTTGAATGCAAACAACATCATTTTTAAGGAGAAATGATTTTCCTTTAAACATTGATTTCCTTTGAAATGAATTATTTGATTTGTTCTTTCATAAATGTCTTTATGTTCTGGAAATGCCTTTTTGTTCTCTGCAGATTGGATTTGATGCATTTAGTCTCAGGCATGCTGCCAGTTGGCGCAATGTGATGGACTGGTTTCACAGGGAAGTGACAGCCATTGAAAATGAGGCAAGGCACTTCATAGATGATTCATTCAAGACACTGCGTTCTGCTGAGGGAGCTTTTGACATGCTGCTCAACTTCAGACACATCAGATCTCGTGAAGCTATTAACTCCCAAATGATGAAAAAATTCAACGACATCCTGGTGCAGTTTGGCAAAGAGGTGTGAAGTATAGCAATAATTACATAACATAACCTGAACCTAAACTGATAAGTCTACATGGATGTTAAGTTAAAAAAATTACACTGTTAGATAATTTTCCACAAAGTCATAGAATACAGTGTTAGATGTGCAAGAATGCTATGTTACATGACACAGAAGCTAATTTTCACAAATTTTGCAGACCTTTCCAAGATTAGCAGAGAGTATGTGCAGTGACTAAAGAAAGCAACCTCCTTGTATAATTTTCGGATAGTAAAATGTGATTCATTCTGTGCCTTTTTTTTCACTAGGTGGATGCCATGTATACATTGTTCAAAGCTAATGTGGACAAACCCCCAATCTTCAAGAATCAGCCTCCAGTAGCTGGAGCCATTAGCTGGGAACGATCTCTTTTTCTACGCATTAAACACACCATCCTGAGATTTCAGGAAATGGAGGACATGCTTAATTCTGAGCAAGGAAAACTGGTATGATTCATGTTTTCTATATCATTTTATTATTATATTAAGATCTTTTCGAAACACAATTTTCTATTCTCTGTTAGGCAAGTAAAAAGTATCTAATTGTGGCACGGCAAATGAAGGATTATGAAGACAAAAAGTATGAAGCATGGAGGGAACAGGTTGAAGCCAATCTGCTGATCTATCTCAAGAAAAATCTTCTTACAAAGCCCTCAGCAAGCTCTGCTACTACACACAGAAGTGTTGCCGATGAGGGCACGGGTTCTGATGATGCTTCAGCTAGCCTGACAGCTGCTCTTCAGTCTCAAGGTAATTTGCAGGGCCACACTGTTGACCTAAAGAGTCCATCAATCATCATGTAAGGAAATTTTTGCCTACAAGAAAAGACTGTGGTTCTGGCATGGCAATCTTGAATTTATAGCATATTATTGAGCACAGACAACAATATGTACATTGTAGATTGCTCTCTCTCTCAAAATAAAATAATGAAATTTGTGACATTTATTCACATTATTTCCATTTCACATGCTCTCTCATTTCATTTTGTCACATAATTTTGTAATAAAAATTTTGTGGAACTGGCCTCCCTCACACAGTTATTTTTTTGCCTCCCTTGTGTAGGTCTTTTTATTGAGGAGAGCTAGATAAACGATTGCATGTGAGGATTTGTAAAATTAGAAGCCATATATGGTCAAATGTTGTCGAAATGGTCTCACTTTTATTTGGCTTCTGCTTCAGGGTCTTTTTGGCTAAATAATACACTTGATCAAACTGAAAAATACAGAATATGATGTATACTTTCTCTACACTGCACTTGACCTAAATTTTTATGAAGCCAAATTTCAGTACTGTTAGCATTATTGTGTTTTTTTTTTTTTCCAGCCTCGCATCCCAATGTACAGTATGTGGCAGATTTTGCGCCTGAATTAGGCATGATAATCATGGAGACCAAATACCTAGAGCAGCTTGGCTTCCAGGTTCCTGAACTTGCAAGGAATGTTGCTTTACAGGTAAATTATCATGCATGAACTAATGTAGCCTGCGTGGCAGGTGTTCAAAATGGAAGGGGAAGGGAATTAGGGCGCGAGACCATACTCTTGCGCTGCCACGCCGGCTAGAACAAACGTTGTTTCCCACCGTTCAATTTTTGCTTTAAAGCAAATAAGTACGGCATGGAAGCAGGTGAAGTGGCTGTTTTCATATTCTAATCGTTTTTTGGTATGGGGTCTTATATTACTTACTGTCCGTCTCTGTCTGGTTGTTGCTTTCTACAACTTCTGCCCTCATTCCTAACCTAACTACAGTTACAGAATTATTTAAAAGGGTTGCCGATAGGTGATAAATTTTGCAGTGATGTTAGCAGTTGATGAGAAGGGAATGGAGTAGTCACCCAGTAGTGATGGCTGGGGAGTAGCGGGGGTGGGGGGGGGGCTTAATAAGAAAGAACATGGAAACCAGGAGTAAACACCATGTTTTTAGTTTGGGGGAAAATTTGAAGAAAAATATATATATATATATATATATATACACAGATCAAAGTGGAATAAAAATTATTGCATCAGATAACATTACGTGTAGGGATAAATAACAGACTCTTCAAAGAAGAGGAGGTATTTTAAAAAGAAATAATGGATGACTACAAATATACTTCTATATATCTCCCAAGGAAATTGCTCTTGATGTAAAATTCCATTATCATGTGATAATTAGCCAGCGAACGTCAGACGTTTCTCCTATTGCTCATCACCGATGAGGGACGTTTCATGAGGAGGAACGTCTGCAACTCAGCGACACAAATTCTATACTGATGATGTAAAATCTGTCCAGAATCCGGTCATAAGTGCTGATTGGACGTCGGAGTAGTTACGTTGTTCTAGCCATTGTTTACGAATGACAGACACAAGACAAAAGGCAAAATAAACATGATGAGTCTATAACAAAACAGGCAATACCTGTGGAATATATTCTTCTCTAAAAGAAGAATTTGAGTTTTTGCTGGAGCTCGTTCGCAAATGAACACAACACTTGACCAAAATCGACCAGGAGAAATGTAAAATTGAGAAAATTTGCATTTGGAACCCCATGACTACCAGATTTATTATGTAAACATTGATTTACGTCATCAGTATGGAATTTCTGTCGCTGAGTCACAGACGTTTCTCCTCGCGAAACGTCCCTCAGCAGCGATGAGCTTGGAGAAATGTCTGCCGTTTGCAGGCTATGTGATAATTTACTGAGATTTGTTTCTTGTAACTTAACCTATTATGTAGGAGGAAAAGTACATAAAGTATGTGGATGGTCTGAAACTGATGTTGGATCGATATCACACTGTTATTGGTAGCTTAAATGTTGCAGAGGTAAATATTGAATCATTTACGCTTTGTAAAACTTACTAACATCGATTAAATTTCTTCACATTTGGTCGCAGTAAAATAGTAGTAGGTTGATAGAAATCTCGTTCATCCCAAAGTACTGTTTAATTATGTTCCAGTAATGTGACAAATATTGCTGAATTACTCTACTCATAAGTCTGTAGTAATTTTTGGACTTAAAATATCCACTGCACCTTTCATTCATTTTTTTTTTTGTTTTCCTTCAGACCCAACTACTTGATGATCACATCAAAGAATTAAAACGAGTCCTTAAACCGGGTGCAAAGAGATTGAACTGGAACTCACTGGGAATAAGTGACTACATCACACGATGTGGCCAGGTAAATATAATAATATGAAATTCGAAATGTGCAAAATAATAGCTACAACATCATACAATGTGAAAGCAATTGCTCAGTATTCAGAGCTTAGACAAGTTAAATTTCCTGAGAATTGGGTATTACCAGTACGTTATCAAGTAATCTTTGCTGTTTAAACTTCCGCACAGGCAATCAGCAAATTTGAATCACTTGTGAATCAAATTCAGAAGAATGCTAAAGATATCAATAATCGTTTGGAGATGATAGAGAACACTATCCTTTTTAAGCAACCTCCACCTAAGATTGGGGGAATGCTGCCAGATGCTAAGGTTAGTCAAGTGGTGCATAACGTACTTACATTATTATTGTCTTGTATTCCACGCTATAGACGATCGAGGTGAAGCTGAGAAAAGACAAAGATGATTAGTGTCTAGCATCAGAGACATTGGTTACTGTTCCATCACTTGCTAATGTGCTTGATGTTTTCTAATAGGAATTCTTTGAATACCTTGAAAAAGCTCGAGCTTTGGAGCTTGATAACTTGTCCAGGAAATACAGAGCTATTGGTCCACTGTTGACAAAGATGGAGGGACTTGTGGTTCATACTAACACTGGCAGATCTACCAAACTACAACCTTACTATGCATACTGGGAGAATGCTGTATATGAGTCTCTCACTAAGGTTTGCAACATCTGTTATTGAAAAAAAAAATTAACAATTTAAGCCCGGCCCTGAGGTAAACTTTTAATTTTGTTTTCCTCTAGCCTGAGCATCATTCGATTCTGGAGAGAAGAGGAAAAACGGGAAGCGAAAAGGGGAGAAAGCGAAGGGAGAGAAACGCTTTCATTTCTCTCTTCCTCCCTTCCCTCTCCCCCTCTAAAATTTCCTCTCCTATAACCCGTCAGGCTAGTTTTTCTCTAATCAATGTCCCCTCAGCTCCACGGAAAATATTGAGTTTCTCAAGTTAGTTTCCTAAAGGACCAGTCACTTAGTGGTAAAAAACGTCTACAAATTTATGAAAGTTAAAATCTCAACAAGCCGTCAACATTGATGGGTAAAAGTGTACTGTTACTTTGGGACTTCTTAGATTTTTCAATGTATGCTGCTCAGAGACGGTTGATGGGAAACAGTTTTATCGTTAGATGTCATGTGACCTCAGGGTAACCAATAAACAAAACACATGCTGTTGGGTAAAAAGTTCTAGCGATGCAGCAAATGGGGCGTGAAGATTGGAACACGGCGACGGCAACAAGAACGTCAAGAAAACAATAGTTTAATACAGCAAAACAACAACTTTACACATGCAGCAGACTTTTTTGTACATTATCTCTTTGCCGTCACTGCATGACTACGACGTGAAAATGCCTAATTTCAAGTGTTATAGTAGCCTGAGTATCAGGCGTTTCTAGCCCCTTAGGAAGGCGTGATACTCAGTCAGGCTAGTGTTATGGATGATGTAGTCAAGCGAGGACAAAATTTTTTTCTCTTCCTGAACTTGGTGATGGTTCATAGGAATTCAACTCGTGGAGTATAACGGTGAAGAAAATTGAAAAAACCTGAATTCCCTTTATAAGCGAAGTTATAACCGCCGTTGCCGCCAAGGTCTCTATTACTGAATATGTGGTGTACAAAAGGACGAGTGTTCATCACCGTGAGATAACTGTGAGACTTTACTTCCAGACAGCAAAGAGATGGAATTAATTACTTAAATAACGTTTTTTCCTTTATTATGGATGTAATAGAATTGTTCCTAGCAAGTCATTCAAATGAATATCATGTGGCATACACTAAATATACACACACAATTCATAAGGTTATTATTCTCCCCTTTTGATTGGTTCCAACGAAGTAAAACTTTTTTTTTGCTTTATTTAGATGGTGACAAAGAACTTGCAGCAATTTAACCAACAGCTTCATGCTCGCCAGCCACTGTTTATGATAGAAACAGTGTTATCTGCACCAGAGATCGTCTTGTCACCTCCTGCAAATGAGATCTACAAGTTAATCATGCAGTCTGTCAGGGATATGGTGGAGGGGTACGTTGCAGAAATCACTTACAGTGTAGTTACAATGATGGTTGATTGAGTCCAAGAACTGCTTAGCACTATTGGTACCCTGGGTGTCAAAGACTTTTCCTGCCCACGGGCAGTGTAAGATCTGTTGGTCTGCGGTCCACACCAAAGCATCCTGCCGCAGAGAAAAAACCTCTGGTACCCAGGGTATACTGTTGGTTGCGTACCAGACGTCTGAGTGGTTCAATTCCTGGTCGGACCAACACTCAGGAGGGCTGCGACTAATAGCCTGGGGCGAGGGATTTCCCCTGGCTACTTTTAGGATAACGCTTGGCTTGTTTTAAGGGGAAAAAACGGGAAAATGAAATCAACAGAACTTCCTAGCTGCAGGAGTAGATCATTAAAGAATTGAGGATCCAGATATCTTGCGTAAATTTTAAATACCTTGGTTTTCTGTTTATTGTTGATTTGATGTTGCCAATTAAAACTTCTTTAATTCTCTAGGAGGTTTCAGTTTGGCATAATGAGATTTTTTACACCATTCTTTTACAGAACACGTATGTTTGTGCGTTGGATGAATGGCACATGTATAGAGACTCCGCCCCAGCATGCTGAAGGTGAAGATGAACCAGTAGTATTTAGTTTCTTTACAGACATCTCAGCCAACCCTGCCATCATAGACCTGGTGACAGCATTATCTAAGAGTGTACAGAACACTCTGGGGATGCTTAACAAGTACTTAACGCGCTGGAGGAGGTACCGACTGCTGTGGAAACTTGATAAGGTTGGTGTTCATCAGTCCCCGCAAAGAGTTAAGCCAACTGAAGGTGATACGATCATTGTCATAGGTTGTGTTGACGCTGTACTGGAGATGTTTTCCTGGTGTCACTAAAAGATATCCAGTATGGGGGGGGGCTCAAGTCGTTCACACATATCTGTTGCTAAATCAGCCTACCTACTTCCACGACGGGCCGAATAGGTTTTCACACTGCACTAAAGTATGGCGTAAAACCTATCTGATAAGTCACGCTTCTCTTTTGAGATCGGCGCAGCGCAGCTAAGCTCCGTCACAGAAATCGCGCCGCCACAATCGTTCTTGCGTGTATACTGCAGATGAGAAGCCCTACCCGATATAATTCTTATGGCGGCGTAAAAGCTACACAGTACAGTGTGAACATTGTCTTACATGGATCAAGTAAAGTAGCAAGATGAAAGCACATTATTGAGCGGGAGCACGTGGCAATGCCCCTGCTAACCTCCCTGGAGCCCCCGACATCAGATTGGTAAAACTGCTGCAGTCTTGACTTTGTTTTACTCTTGCATAAATTAAATTTAGCCCCTTTTAAACGTACAGCAGAAGAAGTTATCCTATTGCATTTTTTTAAACTCACACTAGTGCTTTGTGGTCTGTTTGATTCTATTCGACCGTTTATTGTCAGAAAAGATGAAAACCTTTCTCATTTTCATACATTCGCCTGAGAAAACAGCCGACATTTGACGACGCTACCACTGGTTTCCCCTCGAAATGACGTCTGAGAAACAAGCGCAGAAATTCCAGAATGTTGAATGTTTTCTCAGGCTATTTCATACATAAAACACAAGTTTTTCTAAGTGACTGTTCCAGTAATTGTATGGCTGAAAGAAATGTCCAGCTTTATTTTACGTAGGGCTTTTTTGATTTCTCTATTACTTTTAACAAAAAAAATTTCTGCTAACTGTGATCTTCCGCGCTTAACTTGGCAGAGTAACATGGTAGAGAAGTTTGCTCAGAAGAAGCCAACTTGTATCGCTTATGATGAAAAGCTTCAGTTCTACTCAAATCTTGTCATTGAGGTGAGAGAAGTTGGCATTTTAGGTAAGTATGTATATACTACTTAAAACCGAAGTAAAGTAATTACTTTGGCCAAACATAAAGCATGGGGTTGCAGTCGAATGAACCGATCACACATTGAAGCAAACGCAAGTAGCGGGCGCCAAAAGTGACAAAACGCTTGCACTAAAGCAAGTCACAACTGGTTGTGTGTTCAGTTCTCATTAGTTGAGAAAAGGCGCGAGATATTTTAGCCAATCACAGAGCGTAGACTAGTGTCTCAAGACCAAAGAATTCCCGGAGTTCCTTTCAAGAGTCAATTGAAGTCGCTCTAATGTTTGCTTGGATCAAGTATATTTTTAACTATATGATATTTTTTTCAGGTTGGGAACCAGATCATGATTAAAGACTTAGACTTTGTGCGCCTCAACCTTGATCCGCTGGCCACAACTATCCAAGCTAATGCCAGAGCTTGGGTTAAGGAGCTTGGCAAGTTTTTAAATGAATCAGCAAGAGAAGATCTTAACGCACTCAAAGGAGAAATTGAGGTATGAGCATCCTGTCTGGAGGGCGGCGCTATTTCTAGATACTTTATACGGCTCAATTAAGGTTTCTGGGAAACTGCCCACCTACCCCTAACCTAACATTTTGCCCTAAGTGAGAAGTAACTGTTAACGTTGAGTTAGGGGAGGGGTAGGTGGGCAAGTGACGCTACATGTTTGTGGGATTCCCGTGGCTATTTGACCACCTCTTCTCATTAATTTAAGCTGAACAACATTTATTACTGAATGGTAGATGAAATGCGCACAAATGCGTGTTTCTCTTCATCAATTTCAATTTCAACAAATCCCCATTGAACAAACCAATCGCTTGTTTATTAACTGAAATGGTGTTCACATAGTACAGCGCGGTGCGATAAGATGAAATGCGACAGCAAAAACAGAAAAATGCAATGTTTCTGTACTCATCAATTTCATCCATATGCAAAGTCAACGACGCCCACTTTTTCATCAGAACATCATATTTGATATTTTGTACAACAAATAAGCCATTGAAAAACCATAATATCAAACCAACTGAATTCTGAAAAGGTGAAATATTGTTTTAAAAGGCGTTGTGTTGATCGCTTCATTAAAATCACACCACCGTTCCGATTTGTGCCGTCGATCAAACCCAAAACAAAAACAGAATATGTTCATGTCGCAAATAGCCGTCAGAATGACAGCGCGTCGTCCGCCATTTTGAAAATCGAATGGCGGGGAGTTTTAATGCGCATTCCAAAGCCCTGTCGCGCGTTGCTCAGATGGTGGGGAGTGAGTTAAGCCGTACGAGCGGAAGAGATAGCCGCCCGTTCGTTTTTTTTCGTCGTCAATTTTTCTCACGCGCTCTACTATCTGAACGCGTGGAACAGGCTATTGTTTGGTAGGCCCAGGGTAGGTTATCGTAAGTTAAACTTCCCTGGGGTTGGAGTTGCAAGCTCGTTTGTAGTCGTTCCAAGATCTGTAACCTCCTGTGATTCTATGGCTTTCAAGTACTGGTAGTAGATAACAAAACTGCCATTTTTTCTTTATCTGCCATGTTGTTTTTTTTCTTTAGGGGTTAACAGAGGATCTGAAACGTCCTCCAAACACACTGGAAGACCTGAAGTTTGTGCTGCGTGTGATTGCAGACATCAGAGACAAATCTCTTGAGGTGGAGCTGCGCTACGTGGACTTGCAAGAAAGATACAGAACCCTACTCATGTATGATATTGAGGTAAGAAGACAAACTTCTGAGAGAGCTTTGGGTATGGGAAGAGTTTCATATCAGTTAAGTAAAGGGGAACTGTTTTTGATAACTCCATTTAGACATAACTAGACTTGCAAAGTTCACAGATGCCGCGATTTTGTCGCTTCTCCTGCGCGCCCCGAAAATCGCGCTCGAGTCGTGAATACCAAACCTGACCGTTGAAATCGCAGGAAAGGGTAACAAAAATTGAAGTTTTCAATACAAAATCACAACCTCTCATTAACCTTGTTGATATTATTTTTTCGCCCCATATGTGTATGGTGTCGCGCTTTTTTGGCAGGTAATTTTCGCTCGAATTCACTACTTACAAATGTAACGCCGGCTTTGGCAAGACACGCATAGCAGGAAATAATACAATTATGGCGAACTCTTCATGTGTTTGCGTTGGGTTTTCAAAGTATGCTTTTTGTTTTTGGTTTCTCGACTACAGTCTTTATCTGAGTGTCAAGATTTGGCGTTAACCGAAGTAAAGACTAGTCGGGTTTAGTGAGTGCACAGCGGGTATGATTTACGCTGTCGTTCTATAGCCGTACACGCTGAGTACCAGATTTCTATTTAGACTTAACAGCACAATAGTAATAAAAAAGTGATTTCAGACAATTATTAGCTGAGTTTTGTGAAGGCCTTGGCTGGTAACACTTACCTCTTGCTTGATTATTCTGAATATCACAAAAACCGATTCAAATATTAACCCTTTAAGCCCCAATTTCAACATGTATATTCCCCTCACTGTTCTCCTTATGTTTCTTATTGTACTGTGTGTGAGAATTAGTTCAAACATCAAGACATTTCGTCAGTGATGATCACTTCATTCATTCTCTTCATCTGTACAATAGACCTTTTTACCGATACGGCGGCCATATTGAATTAATTAGTTTTAAGGAGTATTATTTCATACCCAGTGGGCACGATCCGATATACTCGCTCAGTATTTAAGCTCGCTTTTCGGCTTAATTTTTCTTTAAGTTTTCCTAGGAAAAAAAATTGTAATGGGAAGAAAAGACCGTTGTGCCGTGTTTGGATTTAATTATGATTGCCTTTTCCCGCGAAATATACATTGAAGTTCTCTTTTTGCCCAAAAAGAGCGTGTAAATACTGGGCGAGTGCCCCCTGGGCATCCCATAATACTCCTTAAATCTAAAAAAATTTAATATGGCCGCCGTATCGGTAAAGAGGTTTATTGATCTGGTAGTAATATTGTCAGGAGAAATTTGATACTGTTCACCACGGGGACCAAACTTAGTTACCATCCCACGGAACACAGTTTGACATTGCGCTTAGAAATCATGCATTGCTCGCGCAACCTACAGATTAGAAGATAACTGACTTATCTGTAGGTTGCGCTGATTTGCAAAATAAACTGTAGGATATTGGCCAGTGAGAAGACAGACTGTGAGTACAGTGTGTAATAATGTAATGAAATAAATGTGGTCTTACTTGAAAGGTTCCTGAGGGTGAGTTGGAGTTATCTACGAACGTAACGCAAGCATGGGATGATCTCTTCTTGGAATCTCGCCGAGTGGATGCCAGTTTGGTGTCTGTAAAGAAGAAGTTCACTGAAGTAAGATTCCTGTTATGACTCTATGACTATATGACTGTGATTTCAATATGTTGTAAGTTATATGAAAAAGTAAGCCACTGAGAATAAATTAGTCTTATTTGAAACTTTAAATGCCCAAGAACGTAAGTTTGTCTTAAAAAGATATACCCTAGTTAGTAATTACTGGTTTATATCTCATGTGACATTCAATTATCATCTTATTTATATCGTATCTATATATTTTAGATAACTCAAGAGCAAGTGGCTGACTTTTCCACAGACATATCTAAATTTAAAGAGAGCTTCATAAATGAAGGACCAAATTCTATTGGTACAGACTTAGATGCAGGTAATACAGTATTTTGAAGCTTTCAGACAGTTTAACTCTCAAGATGCACTGGACTCTAGTTTGGCAATTTTAAGGGAGCTTAAGCGATGCACGTCAACCGGAAGTGAAGCCTTCTCTCTTTTTATATGCCTTGACGCTAACAAATTTGTATTGCTAAGTTTCTTTTCTCTTATTAAGACGATTTACCCGAGAGTTTGAACCAAACCACTGCCCGGTGATTCAAAAAGTCCACTTCCGGTTGACGTCCGTCGCTCAAAAACGCTGTTGCTTAAGCTCCGTAATGATTGATTCCCAGGCCTGAGTTGAGTATATTTGGTGATATTGTGTTTTTGGGTAAAGGATTCTCCACTAATCTTAGTCTGCGAGCAAGCTCTCCATTCGGGGAAGTCGCGAGAAGTCATGCGAAAGGATACGCAATATGCTCGTAGGCTACCATATTCTCCGCCTAACATCCTCGAAAGTTTAGCATTTTGAATTACTTCTCCATTTGGTATTCGACAGGCACGATGTACGAGGATTTGGCCATTATATTAATATATAAACAGTGTTTTAGCCTGTAAATTGCCCTCCAATTGTTGGGTATAAAGCCAAAAGGATATCTTTTCTCCATCGGCCACATTTTAGGGTAGATAATGTCACTTTTCCTGCAGTGTTGTAAACCAGAAGTTGATCGCAAAGACTTTAGAAATTTATAGTTAACTGCTCGTAGCAGTTGTGAATAAATGTATTTTTTGGTTGGGTTCTTAACTTCAGTAACTCTCTTCTTTCAGGCGTGGAACTGCTCAAGAAGTTCAAAGAAGAGTTTGCTAATTTTGAAAAGGAGCGTCAAGAGTTGGCCAATGCTGAGAAACTGTTTGGTTTATCCATCACCTTGTACCCTGAGCTGCTTGAGATGGAGAAAGAACTGAAGGGATTGGATCAGATTTTCTCAATCTATGAGAATCAGAAAGTAAGGAAATTTATAAGGCAATAAAGAGGAGGCAGCGTGGCTGAGCGGTTAGAACGCTGGACTAGTAATCCGCAAGCCCAAAATTCTAGTCCAGCCCTGACCGCTAGCTGGATTTGTTCATGGTGGTCCCAAATATAAATCCTCGACCACGCTTGTAAAATTGCCATCTGATTTGTCTGTGGCCAGTTAGGATTCTTAACCATGTTAAGTAAAATACTGCCGAGGGTAAATAAAGAAATATAAATTTCATTTTTTAATTGTAGGTCATGCTACTGTAGCAACCTCTTTTCTCTCGTAACGATGTTTCTTTTTAAACATAAACTTAAAACTGTTATCAGTATTTACGGGCCAAAGTGTAATTGACAATTGATTTTTGGCCTTTGAGCAAGCTCTCCTTTCGAGTGCCGAGCGAGTCGCGTTGCTCGCGCGTGACGTCTCCCGATATTTCCCTAACGGAGAACTTGCCGGCAGACTAATTGATTCCCTCTGATTCAACAGGCGGCTCGTGATGAGTGGGCCAACACACTGTGGGCTAATCTTGATGTATCAGTGTTGTCCGACGGCATTGATGGCTTTATAAAACAGCTCAAGAGATTGCCTAGGGAGGTCAAGGCTCTTCCACTCTGTCATATCCTTGAAGAGAAGATGAAGGAATTTAAGAACTCTATTCCACTTTTCTCTGATTTGAAGAATGAGGCTCTAAGGGAACGGTCAGTAACACAATTTACTTGTTCTGTCTATTTTCTGTTCGATTTTCAGCTATGCTTATTGCGAAGTATTAGCCGGAAAAAGGCTGTGGTCCAGTTACCGGCTTAAGCAAAGTTAAGGTGGTGTTTATCAAAACCGTGGTCTTAAACAAATTTAGTCTGGGCAATCATAATATTTTGAAAACTTTTTTAACACACAGTGCCAGGAAAGCATAGAGCACAGATTGGGGAACACTTCTTCCTTTGTAAGCAAATTTAGAAGTCCAAAAATTAATTGTCCAGATCCGCGTTCTGAGTTAAATTACTGGTCCTGCTGATTTTGCTAAGTCGTTGAATGTTGTTAACCCTTTAAGACCCGATATCAACATGTACGTTCTCCTGTTTGTTCTTCATTCATTTCGTATGGTACTTCTTGAGAGAACAGTAACCTGTGTAACCGGCGCTTGGAAGTGATGGGCACAGGAAAGAACATGGTGCGCAAGAGAGACACGCGTGTCTCCCTCGCGCGCTCTGTTCTTTCCTGCGCCCATTACTCCCAAGCGCCTGCTACGCAGGCTGTGAGAGAATTTGTTCAAACTTCAAGACTTTTCATCTTTGGTGTTTGTTTTATTCTCATGACCTGTCTGTTTGATCTGGCAGTGTTACTGTTGAGAGAAATTAGTTGCTGATCACTATTGGGGCTTCAAGGGCTCAGAGAATTAATCCGTTTCTTTTCTCATTAGTCACTGGAAGAAGCTAATGGAGATGACGGGCATGAAGTTTGACCTCAATCCCGACACCTTCACCCTCCAAAACATGTTCGCCATGGAGCTGCACAAGTTTCAGGATGTTATCGGTGACATCACTGCTAGTGCCACAAAGGAGCTTGGCATCGAGAAAGGCATCAGTGAAGTGTCTGACACCTGGGGTACTATGAAATTCACGGTATCCAAATTCATGAAGGGAACACAAGAAAGAGGCTTCATCTTGGGATCTGTCGATGAAATCCTGCAGATTCTGGATGATAATGCAATGAATCTACAAAGCATGTCCGCCTCAAGGTTTGTTGGTCCTTTCTTGGAAACGGTAAACAAGTGGGAGAAAAGCCTGTCACATATTGGAGAGGTTGTCGAGGTGAGAATGATACTGCTTGCTCATTAAGCTAGTTATAGTATAGGTTAATTTCGAGATCCAGAAACTCTTACTGTCAAATCGAGAATAAGTGCAAAACATTTCTTGTGGAAATGAGTTTTATCTGCATGAGAATACAAAATCTTTTTCGTACCAATGGCTTCAAACTTACCCTTGCTTTGAAACAGAGGTTGGGGCAATACATTTGTTATTCAATAAAGGTTGCTTTGGCAATAGGACATTGGGCATTTGGGCATAGGGAACTCATTGCAATGATTTGCTGAACTCTTTAAGCCGTGATATCCACTTACAATACCTCTACACTGATCTCCAAACATTTTCTTAAATAATTAGTTGAAAGAATTTGATAAAAGATGAAAGCATGCTTATGTAGGTGATCATTTTATTGATTCTCGTTACCTTTCCTCTTGATCAAGTAGTGGTATTATTAGGAGAAGATTGATGTGGATAACTCTTATTGGGACTTAAAGGGTTAAATGTCCGCCACACAATAGCCTCCCAGTGCGCAGTTGCCCAATGCCCAAAGCATCCTGGGAACGAGGTTGAAAGCAACTTTTCATTTAATCGGGTGTATGAGTCAGAGTATTTTCTCCAGTGAATTTTATCATCGTCTCAATTGTTATGTATATTTATATCAGAACATTGCTCACAGGTGTTCCATACACCCTCATTCAATTGATGCTTGTGTTGTTTTTAGGTGTGGATGGTTGTGCAAAGAAAGTGGATGTATCTAGAAAGCATTTTCATTGGCGGAGATATCAGAGCACAGCTGCCAGAAGAGGCCAAGAAATTCGACGACATTGATAAAACTTTCAAGAAGGTAGAATAATTGAATTTTGTCTTTTTCAGTCCATTCATTTTCACGAATTAATCAGCCTGTCCCAGGCGTTTAGATAGAGGGGGAGGGGAGGGGGGAGAACTTTCATCCCTTACCCCACCCCCTTGCTGTTTTTCTTGCTCACATTTCTTTGCGCCGTCCCCACAAACTGAATACCTGGAACAGGCTACACTTACTTCGGCAGCTTCCTATACTCTATGTCCATATTTCAATAATGTACACCGCATCTCTTTCAGATCATGAATGACACAGCCAAGAATCCCAAAGTGTTGGAAGCTTGTCACGCCGCCAGTCGTCTGGAACAACTTCAGATGTTAGTCACCGGTTTGGAAAAGTGTCAGAAGAGTTTGAATGATTACCTGGACTCTAAGAGGAATGCCTTTCCACGGTTCTTCTTTATCTCTGATGATGAACTGCTTTCTATTCTGGGAAGCCATGATCCACAGTGCGTGCAAGAACACATGATCAAGGTATTTTATCATGCTCCTTTGATAACTGTATCTAGTATTAGAACGAAAATTAATGTTTTTCCGACTCTCGCGTGTGTGAAAATGCCTCCTGAAATGCTAAGAATTGTGTTCGCCTGGTAACTCTGCTTGTTAACTGAATAAACAAGAGAAGTTTGGTGTAGTAAACAAGTGAAATTTAGCTTTCTTATAGCGTTTTCAAATAAGAATTATGACACGTAAACGAGCTATTATCAATTTGGCCTTCATCTAAGCTTCCCCAAGAACAGGACAAATTGCCGGTTTATGTCTCTTGTTGTTTGCTATGGAGTCTGCTCCAGGCACAAGTTGTACGAAAGGTGTGTACTGTTATCCGTTGAATAAATAAAGTACTCGCGTCCCATCAATTTTTCCCGAATTCATTTCCCAGCGTGGACGTCATATGTGGGTTGAGTTTGTGGTTGGTTCTATCCTTTGCCCGAAGAGGTGTTTCTTGGGGTACTCCGGTTTTCAAAAAACAACATTTCCAAATTCCAATTCGACCAGGAATCAGGTATACGGAGAACCACTAGGTCAGTGAATGTGCTACCTCTAAATCGCTATTTACCTATTTATTTATTAATATCATTTTACATGTTTGTTTATTTATGTGCTGGATTGTAATTTAACTGGTGGATAGCGCTATCCAACTTCCGAACAATCTGGCTGATTCAAGAGTAACACAAAACAAAATAAAAACTGATCAACGTTATGATAGCTCGTTTCGGTCAGCACAGGAGACAAACCCCGGCTGATACTCTCGATCTGTTCATTTATTGTTTAGATGTTTGACAACATCGCCAAGCTTCGGTTTGAAGAAGGCACTGGCCAGGAGATTCTGGCCGGCGCTATGATCAGTGGTGAAGGAGAGGTGATGGACTTCAGACAGCCAGTGGCTGCCGAGGGGCGGGTGGAGGATTGGATGACAAATGTGCTGAATGAGATGAGGAGGACCAACAGGCTCATCACCAAGGAAGCCATCTATAAATATGGTGGAGACATGCCGAGGTAGACAATACTGTACTAAGGAAAGCTACAAAGCTTAACAAGACCCACTCTGTAATACAGCTGTCTTGTTACCTCAGTTGATCTGATACCAGTCTTCAGAGCGGTAGGCCCAACCAATTACGATCACTGTTTTCCGTGCTAAATCGTGAACAGCAATTCTCGGCAACGTTCACTTTTAAAGCCTTGGAGGAAAATGAGTTCTCTTCAACAACATCTTCCACTAAAGAAGCCACAATTTCGAACGCCTGCAACCCAGGGGTTTTAAGAAACCTTGCGCCTGGTGCTGAGGCAACCTCGTTAAGGCTGCTGCAACCTTTGCCCTCTCCCCCCTTCTTAGTACGTTCTCAGTCACGCCAAACGCCACAGCGATGAATTGCATTCAACAAGATAAAATAAACTATCTTCGCTCAATGCAATCCACTCATTTTCGATTTTCAGGATCGACTGGATGATGGCTTATCAAGGTATGGTTGTACTAGCTGGAAACCAAGTCTGGTGGACTTGGGAGGTGGAAGATGTGTTCCGTAAAGTAAAGAAGGGCGACAAAATGGGCATGAAAAACTACGCCAGAAAGATGCACAGACAGATCAGTGACCTTGTGACGAAGGTTTGTTAATAATGTTATCGGGAGAGCCTTCCTTTGAAAACATCTGCGTGGGATGCTATTAGTTAGACACACTGCTAGTGGGTCTGACGAAAAGAGCGGGAAGATAGTTTGGATATCCGAAATTGGGATTGCTGAGCTTATTTCAGTAAAGTATTACACCATATCTTAATGCTTGGATATTCTAATTGGACATTCGTCCTCGTGTTTGACTGACAAGGTCCTTTCTTTCCGGGAAGCTATAGTGGCGCCTCCCACCAGTGTGGCTTAGGTTCGAATCGCAGAGGCTACAACATAAGTGGGTTGTATCTTTTGTTGATTCTCGTCCTTGCTCTTTGAAGTTTTTGTTTGGATACTCGATGTTTCCCTCTCCTCAGTAGTCAACACTTTCTAAATTGCAACTCGATCTGGAACGTACGAAGACTTGGCTCCTAATGGTTTTCTGTAGGTAAACAAATTACAGCAGTGGTGGATCCAGGGGAGGCCCTGGCCCCTAATTTTTAGACCAAATTGAGACCCAAAGGGCCCGAAAAACGTTTTTTCAGACCCCGCACTGTACAGTTCCTTTTACTTCAAGTGCTTCCAAGGGTTGGTTGAAGGTGTAGTTAAATTAAAAAACGCATTGTTTGTTTACGACACAGGTTCGTGAACCAGCCTTGACTAAGAATGACCGCAAGAAGTTCAACACGGTGTTGATTATTGAAGTTCACGCCCGAGACATCATCGACAGTTTTGTTCGAGACAGGTGTGTATGCATTAGTGTCAGACGGCCCAGTCCACAGGTGACTTTACGTCCACACTAAAACGATCATTAGGAAGTTTTACGAAAGCGGAGATTTTCGGAAACGTTTTGGAAAGTGGAGTCTTTAAAAAAGGGAGGTCTGTCTTCTCAGTATGGAGACGAACGAAAACGCTGATAAAAAACGGAGGTCTGTCTTCTCAGTGTGGAGACGAACGAAAACGGAGGTTTTCGAAAACGCTGACAACTGAGTATTCATGCATGACGTTTTTACTAGCTTTAAAAATGGCTGGAAAAAAACGAGAGTGTCGAATGTCGTAGTATCGCTGGCGTTATTGATCTAAGTGCACTGAGAAGTGGACACTTCCTGGAATTACCCGGGTAAGAAACCTTTCGATATTTCGGAAATACGTTTTCGATGCTAAGTGTGGACCACAGAAAACACTGATATGGGTGCGGAGTTTTCCATGCGGTTTGCTAACGCGGCCAGTATCCTAATGTTGAGCTTTGCAAAGTCCAATCGCAACGCAAGTGGAAAGCAGGTGAATTTTTAGTTCGTAATATACTCGAAGATGACGAGGAATTGAATATGTGTAAACTGGCAGCAAGACAAGTAAATGATTAATGTAATCCATAAAGTTACAGTTGTTAGCGACATGTTTGTTCAGTGTTGAAAATTCATGATTGTGTTTTCTTGTAGTATAATGGACACTCGTGAATTTGAGTGGGAGAGTCAGTTGAGGTTCTATTGGGACCAGCTACCTGATGAGTTGATGGTGCGTCAGTGCACAGGAGAGTTTGGATACGGATACGAGTACATGGGACTGAATGGCAGACTAGTTATCACTCCTCTGACTGACAGAATCTACCTCACTATCTCACAGGTAAAAGATGCTAGAGCAGGAAGCTTAAGGAAGGGCATTTTAGAGCGACGGCACGCACGCCAGCCGGAAGTGGACTTTTTGCATTCTTCCCAAACTTCCGGGTAAATCGTCTCCATGAGAGTAAAGAAATTTAGTAAAACAAATTTGGTAGCATCAAGGCACATAAAAAGGGAAAAAGCCTGACACTTCCGGTTGCCGTGCGTCACTCAAAATAGCCGTAGTTTGAGCTCCCTGCGGATGGTTGGGCTGTGATTGCAAGATTCACTGACTGAGAGCATGAGTGCGAGTTTGATGATTCCAATGCTAACTGAATTATTTCATGTGTTATATTAGGCCTTGTCCATGTACCTTGGCGGTGCCCCTGCAGGACCCGCTGGTACAGGAAAAACCGAGACAGTCAAGGATCTGGCCAAAGCTTTAGGATTATTGTGTGTCGTTACCAACTGTGGAGAGGGCATGGACTACAAGGTGAATGACAATTGACAAACCAATGAAGATTGTGTGACAGTGAATATGCGTGACATGATACTAATTCATGATGTAGTTGTGCCTGACTTAACTGGCATCGCCTATCATTTTTTTACGACGACTGCTTTCTAAACAAATTTCTTTCGACCGGAAAACATTCAGCCATGTCCTCATCCGAGATGAGGTTGTTTATGGCACTAGATTTTTATGCCCGTTGGGTGGTCGCACTAACGGACTTTCATTATGTCTTTTTTTTCTGCGTTTGTTTGTCCCCAGTCTATTGGCAAAATCTTCTCGGGCCTAGCACAGTGTGGCGCCTGGGGTTGTTTTGATGAGTTCAACCGTATTGACGTTTCTGTGTTGTCTGTCATCTCTACTCAAATCAAAACACTGCAAAACTCACTCAGCAACCACCTCAAGAGACTACAGGTAACACCTCTGTTTATTCTTTTGCTCTGTGTGTGGCATGTAAAGTAGCCTCCCACGCAGACGTTCTTAGGGGTTCGTCACGCGTTCCTGCCGCACGAACAGGAATGCATGACGACCCCATAAGACTGCGTGGGAAGCTACATGTAATGTGGATCAAACTGTTTGTGGATGTAAACTTGGGCGTGGCTTTTAGATGGAACCTTTCGCGTAGTGCGTTAGTGTGGTTTATTTCCCCAAGCACTATCCACCATCTAATTAAACAATTTTCTTGATTTTGTCCTTTTTGCGAGTGATTATCTGTGGGTTTATCTCATCGTTTCCAAGCAAGTTTTCGAACTGTCTCAGTCACCAAAAGAGGAGGCTTACTACTAGAAAACGTTGCTCTTTAAAATTCACAAACGTTCTTGCGAACGCGGACGTATTTCCGGTAGTCGCTTCTCTCTACCCGAGAAGCGACGACCGGAAATACGTCCGCGTTCGCAGGCTACGGTATCATCAGAAATGTTGCAAAACTTCTTGCTAACCAGATTGGGATGCTGCTGTTTAGAATGTTACTCTAAGCGTCTGGTTTACGATTTTCAATCTCATCAGTTGGCTGATGGAGAAGGTACCAGAGCAGGTCTAATGTTTCTTTCTCCCCGGGTAGAGTGAAAATTTCAAATGCGCAATTCGTCTTACAAGACCTCGCAAAAACCACGGACTGTTTTATTAGACATTCTCGAACCCGTTTTCTCCTAACAAGTATGCATTTCATTTATCAGTTTGAAGGTACCGAGATAGCATTAGATGGTCGCATGGGGATTTTCATCACCATGAACCCTGGTTATGCAGGCCGTACAGAGCTCCCTGAGAGTGTCAAAGCTCTCTTCAGACCTGTAGTGTGTATTGTTCCTGATTTACAACAGATCTGCGAGATCATGCTTTTCTCTGAAGGATTCTTAATGGCTAAGGTAATCAGCGTAAGGAGTTAGTTCAGCATTTCTGAAAGGGGTGAGGAAGCGCAATTTTAGGTAAATTTCAGCACTTTACTGAAATATCGAGATGACAGGTTGGAACTGTAAAAGAACACAAAAATGCAAAATGCAAAAGGGGGCACGGCTGTTTGACATGGGAAAATTTAAGCAGATTTTAGTTAAGCGAACTTGAAAAACATTGGCCCGATCTTATGATATTAAGGAATTATTATTATTATTATTATTATTATTATTATTATTGTTATTATTAATTAATTAATTTTTTATTTGTCCCTGTTTTTTGTCAATAAAAGGTAGATCACAGTTCGCAATCAACGAAAATAATATCAATTATCGAACGTATCGTGACCTGGCCCTTTCAAGGCAGCTACAATGACAACGATCTTTGTTCGCTAAATGGCCCTCTTTGAAAGGAAGTTCCTTGATACCTAGTTGTGCTTGCAGGTTCTGGCCAAAAAGATGACAGTTCTGTACAAGCTGGCATCCGGACAGCTATCCAAGCAGTCTCATTACGATTTTGGTCTCCGTGCATTAAAGGCTGTTTTAGTGATGGCAGGAGAGCTGAAGAGAGGTTCCCCTGATTTGAACGAGGCGAGTTTTACCCTTTAAAAGCCACTAATAGTGATCAGCATCAAATTTCTCCTTGTAATATCAATGCTTTTAAAACAGACATGTGATAAGAATTTAGGACATGATCACATATGATGAATCTAACTGATTCTTCGACAACTTCTCTCCACTACTACTGTAGGAAACTTACAGGGACAAGTGAGAATTTGAATGTTGATATTAGGGTTTTAAGGGTTAAGTAGTAGACCAGTTACAAACTGTTGTAGATCTACTTGTCAGAACTATTTTCTAATCACACTTGTTTAGGAACACCTTTTGAGCAGGCAGCAAAAGTTTTGGTGTAATAACAGTGCATCTCTCCCTTTGACGGATGCAGTGTTGATGCATTTCGTGACGTGACATTAACAATAGTTTTAGTGTAACAGTATTTTATCTCTTCGCGTAGGATTTAGTGTTGACGCAAGCGTTTCGTGACAACAATTTTGCTGATTGCAAAGTTTCGTGACATAAAATTTCCAACAGTTTTGGTGTAACAGTTTTATATTTCCTCCTTTAGGATGTAGTGTTGATGCGAGCGTTGCGTGACATGAATTTACCCAAGTTTGTGTTTGAAGACGTACCACTCTTCCTTGGCCTCATAGCTGACTTGTTCCCAGGCCTCGACTGCCCGAGGGTTCGCTACCCAAATTTTAATGATGCTGTGGAAGCGGTTCTACAAGACAACAAATATATACTACTTCCCCATCAGGTATTTCAGAAGAATTTTTACATAATAATACATCCAAGAGAGTACCTTAGTTAGACAGACAACAGCAAGAACAATAAGACAAACAAACAAACTGCACTTTGTAATGTGCGGCATAACAAACGACACCAGAAATTTTTGGTCACCAAATTATATTTTTGATAGTCAGAAGATTTCATCCAGATCAATTCTGGACGTCTAACGCCGCGGTCCATAGTCCGAAACTTTGTAGAACTCGACACTTGTTAACACTTAGCAGCAAATGTTTCGTTCAAAACCCTCATTTACAAGCATGAGATCCTGCTAAAAGAGCTAATATTTTTAAAAAAATAAGTTGTTATTTTGTCATTTGTAGTGTGTATGACGATGATTCCTTTTCTTTCATTTCCGAAGCTGTTATAAAACATTGTGCGACGATACTGTTCACACTTACTTAGAAGATTTTATGTGTGATTGTTTTACAGGCTGACAAAGTTGTTCAGATGTACGAGACCATGTTGACGCGTCACACAACCATGATCGTTGGTCCGACCGGCGGAGGAAAGACTGTTGTTATCAATACCTTGGCACAGGCGCAGACACGGTAAGATTGCCTGTCCACACCCACCTTCCACTAATCGGAACGATAACGTTTTGTTAAGAACTTAAAGGAATTATGCTATTGGTGCACATAATGCTTATTAGTGTCAGGATGTAAAGAGGTAGTCTGCTACACAGCCGTTTTTAGTGTCGTCACGCAACGCTCCTCCCTCACAGTGAGGAGGAGCGTTGCGTGACGACTCCAAAAACGGCTGTGTAGCAGACTAGTAAAGAGGAAAAAGTAATTGCAAAACTAAGAACAACGGAGCTGCCGTGCCACAGCCTCTCCGGTCACCCAATCCCTTCTAGTTTCTAAAGGCAGCGCTACCTTGGAAAGGTCCTGGTGAAGAGGACAGTACTGTTAGAAGGTCTCAGTTGTTACTTGTCATGTGCACTTGTTTGTTCAGTATGTTTTGGCTTCACTGTCAAACAAAATTTGCCTTATGTTCCCTGCTAGTGTTTTACAGTTAAACCTCTTAAGTTGCGCAATCCAGGAGGCAGGTAGACTGGTTTCTGTGTTATAAATGGGGCCTGGAATTTTCTGTTAAAGGCTCTCTCGGTATCTACTTGTTCGTAGTAAAAGACTCGTCTCTAGTTTGTATTTGCTTATGGAGTCAGCCATTTCAAGTTGAAGAAAAATTTAGGCGGTTTAATCTGCATCCAAAGCGTAAAGGAGTAGCTGGCCTGCTCAGCTTTAATTTGAATTTACTGTCTAAAGGCTGAGACCTTTCAGAAAGACTTCTTCCCAAGGATATCCAGCTTTGAGTTGACTTTCTGTGTTTCTTTTCTGTTTTTCAGCCTGGGTATGTCCACTAAACTGTATTTGATGAATGCCAAGGCCTGTACAGTGGTAGAGCTGTACGGAACATTGGATCCAGTAACTCGGGACTGGACTGATGGATTACTATCCTGCATCTTCCGTGAGATCAATAAACCAACCGACAAAAACGAACGGAAGTATATTGTGTTTGATGGCGATGTTGACGCCTTATGGGTTGAAAACATGAATTCTGTCATGGACGACAACAGGCTGTTGACGCTGGCTAATGGCGAGAGAATTCGGCTGCAGAAACACTGTGCTTTGTTGTTTGAGGTATGACTGTAAACTTAACGAGCCATTTTTATTCGACCGAGAAAAGTGGTTTCCCAACTGTTTGAAAGTGGCTGAAAGGATCAACACGAACTCTGCTCGATTTTCTGCGAAAATTGAATAATTAATGAGGATGGTACTCCTAACACAGAATTATTTTAGCAAGGACAACTGCAGCAGCGATAGTTGTATATTAGGCTGAAAATAGAACAATTGAACTCTTTGTGGTAATTTTAGATTATTGCGTCAATTCTTCCTTTTCATCCCAGTGATCCTTGCTAAAATTTACATTTGCCAAATGGTCAAACATCACGCAAAAATAACCTACGTTTCGCAGACCTTCCCGTAATGCGCAGAGTGTACAATAACAACGCCCACAACGCCTTTTACTGTTGCGGACACCTCCACAAAAGGGACGCTTCCCTATCAGAAGCCTAAAAAATCAGCCATCCCTTCCCCAAACCAACGGGACGCGCGGTGGGTTAGGTGGAGAAGGACAGCTGACATTTCAGTGGAGGTTTGACTGTATTTTATCGTTACCACCCTGTTGCCCTTTGGCTTGCTTGTTTCTTAAGTTAACCAAAGGTCGGGAACATGAAAGGGAATCTTTTGTAATTAAACACAGACCTTACAGGGTTCAACTATCTCCTCAGGTTGCAGATCTCCGCTACGCGTCCCCAGCTACTGTATCGCGGTGTGGTATGGTGTACGTGGATCCCAAGAACCTGGGATATAACCCTTACTGGGAGAAGTGGTGTAATGCTCGTGGAAGCGATAAGGAGAGGGAGGAGCTCAACAGACTGTTTGAGAAATATGTACCACCCTGTATAGACCTCATACTTGAAGGAATCGTCGAGGGAAAGATAGGAAAGAAGTTAAAAACTATCATCCCTCTCACCAATCTGAACATGGTAAGTGAGTGAATGGGACTGCTTTGAAATTTTCATCGATTTATGTGAAAATAAAAAGAGAAAATTTCCATATTTGTATTCTACTAGAGGTAATCATTGATTACAGATCCGCGTTCGCCACTTTAATGCGGAAACGAAATCGAATCACAGGAACACCAGATTAGGAGGCGTTCTGACGAACGCGATTGTTAAAATGTTAGGCACGCAAAGACTAATCGAGGCCAATATTGTGGCCTACAGGAAAATCGGGATGAAAATTGATGAGAAATAATAGCAGATAATGACAGTCATAAGAAGGAACTGAATTTCGTGAACGGTTACTTTCTACAGGACCGTGTCGTGTTTGTTTGTTTGTTTGTTTGTTTTGCTTTTGTGCTGTTGCTTTCTCCAACTAAAAGTGGATGAAGGACGAATATAAGGGCTTACATCGAAACATAATTTCTTTTATTCTAGAATAGGTGTATCTGCTTGTAGGCTTACCCTCTTGATCGACTGAAAGACATTCCCGGCACAGGTTGTTTTCTAGGCTGTCTGATCGGCGTGTCTTTGCTGTGGTTTATTAACATACAAATTATCTTGAGAAGGCATATTAATACGAACAAATCTTCAAAATTTGAATGAGCTGTTACATTAAGAACACTTAAACCACGTTTACATGGTTGGGACTGCGCTACAAAGCTGAGCTCCAGTTTAAGTGTTACCTGGAGATAGTCAATAGAGGTGGACACTACTAAAGATTGTCACGTCCCTCGTGATTTTTTTCGTCCCACGGTTGTTTTAAGGTCTTAACTTGCCATGTGTCCATCAAAGAGTATACGGCATGTCGAGTTCTTTTTTAGAGAAGCTCTTTTAATATTCGATTGCTATTTTTCAAGACATGAATGATGAACTTACATCTGTGAGGAAGAATATGTAGACAAAGATAACCACTGACAAGTTTGATTATTTCCGTTGTCAGGTTGTTCAGTTGTCCCAGATGCTGGATGCGCTGCTTCCCCCTGCAGAAAGTGCGAACTTCCTTGGTTCTGAGACAACAGAGGCCATATTCATATCTGCATTAACCTGGTCTTTAGGGGGAGGCCTGCTCGAGAATGGGCGGACTGTGTTTGATGGGTTTGTCAAAAGAATTGCTACTTTGCCTCAGAATCCTGCTGAGGGGTCTGTTGTTGGACCAGGTATGATTTCGTTTGTGTTGTTGACAAGGCGGTTATGCTGTTTTGCATGTGACGTGTTGCAGGGACACCAACATGCCATTTGATGCAAAGCTGTATAAATTCAGGTTAAATATCTCGAATACCTTACGCGCGAAAAAACACCCTCACACAAAGATCTGAATCTCGGCGAAACTGTTTGCAATTTTGGTCTTTCATGTCTCAGATTCTTCTTTAACTGGTTTCGAGTTTTTGTTGCCGTGATAGTGAAACCCACTTCATTTTCTCCTAAGTGAACTGGAACTAGCGTGAAGTGGAGACTATTACGGATGAATACCCAGCGTGAGCCTCGACTATTTTCCAGTTACAGTTTTTTACCGAGAATGAAATTGAAAAATAAAGTGACAATACCCAGGCTACTACACAGTGACTGAGGAATAACTTCAGTTTCTATGCTAAGTGATTTTGCAGCATAGTCTCATAAAACCCCCTCAACTTTCTTCGGATCAATCTAGGTTTCTGGGAAACTGCCGTCCTACCCCTCCCCTAACCCAAAATTAACACTTCTCATTTAGGGCAAAATGTTGGCTTAGGGGAGGGGTAGGTGGACAGTTTCCCAGAAACCTAAATTTATCCCTTTCTTCTTTGTATTCGCTAACTCAGTCCACGTTCCCTGTCTGCTTAGGTGAGATTCCTAGCGCCCAGTCCACGTTATTCGAATATTTCTTTGACTCGAAGAAGCTTCTCTGGGTCCCCTGGGTGGACGTAATCCCGGAGTATGTTCACGACCCCGAAAAAAAGTTCTCTGAGATTTTGGTTCCAACTGTGGACACTGTGAGGACAACGTGGCTGCTGGAACTGATGGTCAGGATTAAGAGGCCGGTGGTACTCGTGGGAGAGACTGGTACTTCTAAGTCTGCAACCACCGCTAACTTTCTAAGGAGTCTCGACAAGGATTCTACGGTATGTTATCAGGGACTCAAGGTTTTTGCTACATCTATGAAAATTGTCTTTGTCCGAATAGCAGCTCTGGAACTTAATAATAGTTGTCCACCTTATTCCTCGTATGTTAAGCGCTTTATTATCTATCTTTAAAGGAGCTATGTCACGCTGTTGGCTATCTGTTTTTATTAAAAACTGAATCATTGGATAATGCATTTCTAGAGCTCTGATTGGCTTAGCCATCATGGTATATGAGCCATTATACCGTGCTCTCCAAATATGATAACTGTACGCGTCTGCTCAAAATTGAAAACAAGCTGAAAAAAATCGGTTGTTTTGCAAATATAGTAAGGAAAAATTCTCGATATTTTTTTGGGCGTTTTTAATAAAACAATTATTCCACTCGCGCTTGTTGGATGTGAGATGCCTATCGGTTGTTGGCTAACGATCGTCAGTTTTTTGTTATTTACATAAACTCATTTCTTGTTGACTTTATTTGTCCCTCCTGACTCACAGCTCCTGCTTAATATCAACTTCTCTTCGCGAACAACTTCCATGGACGTACAAAGGAACCTTGAGGCCAACGTAGAAAAGAGGACAAAAGACACTTACGGTCCCCCTATGGGGAAGAGATTGCTAGTGTTCATGGATGACATGAATATGCCACAGGTGGATGAGTATGGCACACAGCAGCCAATAGCATTACTGAAGCTACTGCTAGAGAAGGGAGGCATGTACGACAGGGGCAAGGAACTCAACTTAAAGAATTACCGGGATATCGGCTTTGTGGCTGCCATGGGAAAGGTACGGAGTGTTTAGCACGTTTGCATGCACGCAAGCTACTAGGACGTGAGGTCACCATTTCCCTGCTTTTTGACACACACTGAAGGCTTTCAGCGTTTGATTACATGAGCTGCGCTAGCCCGGTTGCTCGTGAATTAAAAACAACAAAAATCAACTTCTTGACCGACCAACGAGCCTGCTTGTTAGCCAGGATATACAGGGATCGCGGCCTCTTTCTCTTTTACTAAGCAAATCAAAGTTTTTTCACCATTTTACACCGCTTGCAAAAAAAACAAACAAAAAAAACAAACAGGACCGTGGGGAAACAGATCCTCAATAGCTTATAATCTGAAATTAATGGACCATTGTTCAAAAGTCAGATTTGGTGCCTCCATGACGCTGGTGTCTTTCCTAATTCTCCAAAAATTAATGCTTTCTGTTACAGTCAAACCAGGTTTACCATTGTTCATTTAAGATTTCATTTGTTGATTCAATAATTTTGAACAATCCCATATCCATTCAATAATCGAATGTTGATTCGATTACTGTTTTTTTACACTTTAAATTCCTCCTTTTTTTCTGAAAGTTCTGAGTTCAAACCAAACAAACTGTTACATGTACGCCAGTTTGCAATTTCAGTGCAACAGACCTAGGCCTGTTGAGGTCGGTGTAAATTTGGATTTCGTTCGTTTGTCAGTTTCTTTTGCGTTTGCGGTCTGTCTTTCTAGTTTATTTTGATTAAAGGCATGAAAAAACATCTAAACATTGAACAACAGACATGTTCAACAAACCTATTTGATTATTGAATCGAGGTACTTTGACCGTTGAATTATTCATTTTATGAATGGATTTGAAAACAAACTAATTTTTTTCCATTAATGAATTCTGGTGGTGGTTTGACTGTAAAATTTGTTGTTCGTTGTGAAGAAATAAATGCTTGTTCATGAAACATCTCATTACAACGCATGTTCAACAAGCCTACGCCTTTCCTCTAACTTAGTTTTGAAACCTATTTTTAGCCTGGTGGTGGTCGCAATGAAGTGGACCCGCGCTTCATCTCTCTCTTCAGTGTTTTCAACGTCACCTTCCCGTCACAGGAATCACTTACCAAAATCTACTTCTCGATTCTGAACGGCCATTTGGAGCCATTCAAAAAGGAGGTTAGAGAGCTGGCCTCAAAAATCACGTCTGCAACTCTGGAGTTATATAACAAGATCATACAGAACCTGCCACCCACCCCTTCCAAGTTCCACTACATCTTCAATCTGCGTGACTTATCCCGTATCACCCAGGGACTATGCCTAAGCACGCCCGACAGGTTTGATAATCCTGGACAGTTTGTTCGACTGTGGAAGAACGAGTGTCTCAGAGTGTTTTACGACCGTCTGATCAGTTCGTCAGATAAGAAGATCGTCAATGTAAGTTTTGACTAGCATTTTGTTTTTCAAAGGAAAACATGCCCTGTTACAAAAGACAAGTTTCTCGTCAAATGTCGTTTTGTGATTGGCTTAAAAATGTAGCGCAAGGTGAAGGTTATTTCGCATATACAACATTTCGCATATAAAGGCTACGTTCACCGGACGAATTTCCGACCCGCTGGAAAATTTGATAGGACGGTTCGTTCACCAAAACCGTTCAATATTTTCCCACTGTTCACACGGAGCTGCCGAAATAGATTACAGTTTTGAGCGCTGCTTTGGCAAATCCAAAGTGGCGTCTCCCAACTGAGTTACCAACATCGATATGCAACCACGCCTTCGCTTAAAACGGCTTTGCCATTCCACCAGAAAAATTTTTGACCGTACAGCGTAGTGGCTAAAAAGTTTCAACTCTATTTTGGTGTTCAAATTTTTCACGGCTATTCGTTAAAAATTTCGTAGGGTTAGGGTGTGAAGAGCACACCTAAACGCACGAATTTTTAACTGTCGAAAATTCGGGATCCTCATACGTTTCTGGGAAACTTCCTACCTACCCGTCCCCTAAGCCAACATTTTGACCTAATTAAGAGTACGTGTTAATGTTGGCATAAGGGAGGGGTAGGTGGGCAGTTTCCCAGAAACGTATAAGGTGCCGTATAAACGTGTAGCATGAGTTTTACAATTTTGTCGATTGTAATCTATGCTAACCAATGTTAATCTTTGCTTATCTCCCCCTTTCTAAACCATCCTTAATTCTTTTTAGTTTACCCCTAAGGTATTTTCTGTTTACCAAACTATATTATATGCTTTACTCTCATTTCTCAGGGTTACGTCAACGAGCTGGTCGAGCAGAACTTTACAAACCACCTGGACTTAGTCAACAGAGAGCCGATACTGTTTGGGGATTATCGTAACGCATTAACTGAAGACCCACGTTTGTACGAAGACATTGTGGATTATGAAGCTGCTAAGGCTGTGTTTGATGAGGTTAGGGTGGACTTGTTCTCATTATTGGCTTCTTGTTCTTGACTTTTTTAGGCTCGACTACCAGCCGCTTTTCGGGAAATATACTCGCGCTCGTCCCCCGAAAAGACGGCTGGACGTGTGGGTTTGCTCTTGTTGATTTCCACCTATCAGATCTTTAGCACGCAGCGTAAGTTAATTCCTCTGGAGCAGATTTCAAACGGCAGATACAAAGGTGTTGTTTGATGTGGCGTGCGATCGGAGACCGTACAAGAGCGAACCCTAGAGAGCTTTGGAATAGAGGAAGTTGCTCGCCACTCTGTTGCCACAGTTGATCCTCTTCATTTGGTCCTGACGAAGCCAAACTTCGTACAATCCCATCTCCTATGATACGGACACTTCTGTTCTGTGGACACTTGGCTCTGTCCTGTTTTAGTCTGTATTAAAGGTTTAACTGCCAGTTCCTATCTCAAAGAGAGGTATCATGACACTATTCGCACAGGGACATTTTTAGAAGTTTCTACAGAAACTTCTGGCAATAAACCATTCTGTTTTATCTTCAATTACAGATCCTAGAGGAATACAACATGGACCACGTGCCCATGAATCTTGTTCTCTTTGATGACGCCATTGAGCATTTGACGCGTGTACACCGCGTGATCCGCATGGAAAAAGGTCACGCCCTGCTGGTAGGAGTAGGAGGCAGTGGGAAACAGTCCCTCACCAGGCTGGGCGCCTTTTCTGCAGGGTGCGAGGTGTTTGAGATCACGCTCACCCGTGGTTATGACGAGAACGCTTTCAGAGAGGACCTGAAAGGACTTTATTCAAAACTAGGGCTGGAAAACAAGAAAATGGTTTTCCTGTTCACTGATGCTCATGTAGCACAGGAAGGTAATGTAGCTGACGTATTTGACGTCGCACGTAGTTTTGTCAAATACTTCAGGACGAGGTGCGGCTAGCAGTTGGCTTTTGACTTGCTGTACCACTGCAGTATTAGGGCCTGTTTACATGGAAGTAGGGGAGCCCAGGTAGGTGAGGTAACCCGCTTAGGTGGGGAACCCGCCTGTCCACATAATCTCTCTTTTAAATTTGATCACGTTTACATGGATAGGTGGGGTAACCCGCCGCATGTTACCTAACCTATCTGGGGTCCTCCACCTCCATGTAAATAGGCCCTTAGATGTAATGTAAGCAGCAAAAGCGTTAGTTTTATTGTAACACTATGGTTTCGCCGTTTTTTCTGCTCTTGCCTTTAGCTTCTTTTGGGCAGCTCGCGTCCTCTTCTCAGCTGTTGCCCAGAAACTGCGCTATGTGAGGGGAGAGTAGAATCAGTTTGGAGGAATCAGTTTTAAAGTGTAGCAGGCAATCGACTACGCCGTTCAGCGAAATGACTTTGTGTATGGAAATGGCCGGCAACCACATGGAAATTATCTGAATACACTTTCTACTTCGGCTTTTTCAGGTTATGGTAAAATCTGGTATTTTTCCCCACTAGATCGATCTTACAGTAGTTTCTATTGTATTTGCTTTCAGGTTTCCTTGAACTCATCAACAACATGCTGACGTCAGGAATGGTTCCCGCGCTTTTCCCCGATGACGAAAAAGAAGGAATTATCGGACAGGTAAGTAAGGACAATTAATGGGGTCTGCATAAGGCCCCACCCCCCACCCAGGGTTCTCCTTAAGTGCGAGCAACCGGCTAAAAATACCGGCTACTTGGATGTTTGAGCCGTCTACTTTGTGGGGATAAAGGGTAAAGTGAGAGAGTGAAAGCCTGATATTGCCTATACAGCACTCAGTTACCTACTTATACATCCTAGACCCTCTTAGACATTAAATAGCGAGAACCCTGAAGGGCGTGGGGGAGATTGTGATCCTGACAAGTTGCGAAAATTATTTTGTACTTTGTCGACTTTAGAACAGCTAAACCTTTATCGATGAAGTCTCTTTGCTGGTCTGATAGGTTTCTTTACTTCCCGGTTATCAGTTGGCTTACTGTATTAACCCTTTAAGTCCCAATATCCACATACAAATTCTCCAAACTGATCTCCATACATTTCCTTGAAGAATTAGTTGAGAGAATTTGGTAAAAGATCAAATATTTTTCTCTTTGTGATCATTTTGTTAATTCTCATAGACTTTGCTCATGATAGTCTATAGATATCGTTAGGAGAAAATTGATTTTGAGCACTATTGGGACTTAAAGGGTTAATGATTTGATACAGTGTTGTCGTTAAACTCGTGTCCGTCGTTAAACTCGTGTCCTCCCCTTCACAGGTTCGAGACGAAGCAAACAAAGTAGGAGTGCCACCCGCACGGGAATCTATCTGGCAATACTTTGTTAACAAATGCGCCAATAATCTTCACATCGTGCTGGCCATGTCGCCTGTGGGAGAGACCCTAAGGACTCGCTGCCGAAACTTCCCAGGTCTCGTCAATAACTGCATCATTGACTGGTTTACAGCTTGGCCGCAACAAGCTTTGCACGCCGTTGCTTCGGTGTTTTTGGGAGAAAACGTAAGTTTTTCCTTATTTTGACTCACGCGAAGTTTTCACTCAGCTAGCTTGTACCTCCTTGAAGGCGCGCGATTTTGGAAACTGCTCGTTCAACTAGAATAACTACAAGTTACACATTAAGTGAGACTACACATTAAGTCAGTACACACACGCCGAGACTATAATAAATTTTATGATAGTCTCTTCGTGTGTGTACTGACTGGTGTTTCGCTGTGCCTCGTTTGTAACTTGAACAGTTGTGGCGTACAGTACTTGGTGATGCCCACCTATTTAAACTCTTTCACTCAGGACAGCAGACAAATTCAACACAGTTTTAACCCTAAAAACAGAGACGGTACCGTACAGAATTCAACTTTAAGTTCTTAGATCCGAATCGGACAAAGGGTAGAGTTAACTTTAGATACGTTAATAGTTTGAGTTTGTTGCGTATGTCCTAAGGATACAATGTCATATGGCCTGCGTCGTCGGCATTCGAAGGGGAATGCAGAGTTCGAGCGCGCTAACACGCGCATGATCCCCTTCGCGTCCTTGCACGCCCGAATTTTCCCATTCATTTTCCAGTTTGAAAGCCTGCCACCCAGGCTAAATGAAATATTGTCCAATATTATTTATTTATTGGAGCATTTTTTTTCTAGAATGACAAAATTCCTGATGAACACCGTGAGAGTGTCGTTAACCACGTGGTGTACGTACATCAAACCGTTGGAGTGTTCAGTAAAACGTTTCTTCAAAAGCTGAGGAGAGTGAACTACACTACGCCCAAGAACTATCTGGATTTTATCAACACATACAACAAGTTACTGGAAGAGAAAGATAAATTTGTTTTGGAACAAGTAAGTTATTTCATCATGATGTTTCCCGTCTGTGCCCTTTGATCAAGTATGCATAATGTTCGCACTTTCTCAAGCCCAAGTCGCGACGATCGCTATGGATGAAACGACGATCTTAGAGATTAAAGCGATAAGCGCATTCCCTGTTCAAATCAAGTTTGACAACGTAAATCGTGCGGTGATGGCAAAGAGTTCTGCCAAAAGGTGTGCTAAAGTTCAGAGTGTCTGTTTTGCTTATTAAACCTGTTCCGTTGTTGATTATTTTCTTGTCTTCTTTGTCGTCGTCGTGGTTGTTTGAGCTCGCTAGTTACGTTACCGTGCAAAACAATTGACAATATCTGACGATTTTGTTGAACAACCTACGATTTGATGGAAAACGCGCGTCACAAACCATGTCTGCAGGAACCCATTGAGAGGCCGAATCATGATATACATTTTGACATTTTGAGGGACATCGGAGGTACACATTCTTTTACCATGCTTTATGACAAATTGCTACCAGCGTTTCATCCTGAAAGGGGTTGTCCATTTGTTAGCCTCACAAAAAATGTTCAGCGACGCAAATGTTAGGTCAAGTTGGTTGGGTCAACGTTCTCATTTCTCTTTCTCTCTTTTTTTTTAGTGTCATCGTCTTGATGGCGGTCTCAGCAAACTTTTGGCAGCCAGTGAGCAACTTAAAGAACTCAACGAAAAGTTGGAAATTCAAAAAGTAGCCGTTACTGAAAAGAGCGAAGCCTGCGAGAAACTGTTGGTGGAAATTCAGCGCGCCACTGAGCTAGCTAATGAGAAAAAAGCCATGGCTGTAGGCAAGAAAGAAGAGATCGCTGAACAGAACAAGGAAATTGTCGTAGAGAAAACGGAAGCGGAAGAAGCTCTTGCGTTGGCACTTCCGGCGTTAGAGGAAGCAAAACTGGCTTTACAGGATCTAGAGAAGTCTGATGTCACTGAAATCAGGTACTGAACAGATGGTAACTCCACCCTTCCATCAAGTATTTCGCTGACAATCTCTGCGTGTAAGGTGTTGGTAACTTGCTCCTACGTGGATATCTGATGTTGATCAAATATTTTAAGAAAAAATGCTCCTGCGCAAGATGGCATTTTTTTAAAAAGAACCTTCCAGTGAAATCCTTTGTCGTGCTCAAATGTCTGTTGGTGTAGAATCCTTGTTTAACAACGTTCCTATAAGCTGTTTTACGCAAGCTAGAGACTGATGCAAACCTTGCTGACCGCAAAAAAACCATCTCATGCGAACCCCTTGAATTTCTTATTAAGTAACAGATCGTCCCACGGATAACAAGATGGCGACCACATCGCGAGAAAAACGATAATTCTCTTAATGAAGGCAATTCTGTACGTAATCTTACATTTCTCAGGCGTAAATTAATAAAAATATTTAGCCTCACGTTTTTGGCAAACGGCTTAAAGTGGCTGTGACGTCACGGCTGTCTAGTTTATATTGCCAATAATCCCAATTACGCGTCCTTACTCGCAAAAAGACTTAAAAAGTTGCTCAGTATAGGGCCTGTTTACATGGAGGTTGGGGACCCCAGGTAGGAGAGGCAGCCCGCTTAGGTGGGGTAGCCCGCCTGTCCATACAATCTCTCATCAATTTGATCGCGTTTGCATGATAGGTGGGGTGACCATATGAGAGATTGTATGAACAGACGGGTTACCCCACCTAAGCGGGTTGCCTCACTTACCTGGGGTCCCCAATGTCCGTGCAAACAGACCCTAAACTGAGTAATTTCTTAAGTTTCATTGGCCCTTAGTGGCAGATCCCATTGTTTGAATTTCGATAAAGTTCGTGACACAGCTCCTTTAAGGCAGGGATGACCTCGTGAGTAGTTACTTCAAGCCATTTAATGCCCATGCTTTTTGCAGCGTCACGATGAGTGTTGTCTCATCCATGAAAAAGTTCATGAAGTATCAGTAATCGTATGGTCATCTCTGTCGTTTGCCTTTCTCTTTTGCTGTAAACGTGATGCTTGAGCACTACTCAAAATTTTTTAGCCTGGTTACAGTAACCCTGTGACTAATCTTTCCCCTCATTTTCTCGCGCAGATCGTTTGCCAAACCCCCGCGTGCAGTGCAGATGGTGTCCGAGTGCATTGTAGTGATGCGCGGCTATAAGGAAGTGTCATGGAAACAAGCCAAAGGGATGATGTCAGAAGCAAACTTCCTCAAGTCTTTGACAGAAATGGACGTTGATGGAATCACTACAGCGCAGGTACTGTGTGTAGGCCTTTCAGTGCAGTGAGTGTGCAAATGAAAGCTTTCGTTGAAGGAGTAGATAATTTTAAGGTTTCCATATAATCGTGTCTCGTTCGCCTCGATATTTTGGTATGGTGGGGACTATACGGACGATTATATGGAAACAAAGCTACACCGAGAGGTCATATCAAACTAACTAACTATCTGTCTGGAACGAACGCGTCAGCCCTCTTCGATCGTTCTAAGTAGTAAAGGAGAATAGGACTTAAAACTACAAGACTCAGTGAGCAGCACCACAGTAGAAGTCAATAGCATTTGCCCTATTCAAACCTGCTAAACATGTTTGATTAAACTAGGTTTTAAAAATGAAAAACATTAACAGAAAACTGGAACACAGGCTTTTACACAGAATTCAAATGAGCTTTAACACAACACCCAGTTGCACTTATTTGCAGTCGAAAACAGTACAGTAGGCAGCTTTTATAACGAAAACAAATGTAAACCCTGTTTAAATACTTTTGTTTAAACTTTGGTGTGAATGATGCTTTAGTTGCTTAAGGACGCTATCACCACGTGACACTTACACTTACCTCGTCCACTACAACAATCAATTTGAATGTATCATTCTTCATCGCGTTATATTTAGTTTAGAGCTAAAAAAATTACTGACCAATGACGTTTTCTGTATCAAACCAATTATTTTGCTTGTCCCATCTCTTTCCCAGGTGAAGCGGTGCAGAGAGATGTTGAAGGAGATGAACATTACTGTGGAGGAGATGAGGGAAGTCAGCAGAGCAGGAGCTGGTTTACTCAAGTTCGTGATCGCTGTTATGGGATACTGCTCTGTTGCTAGAGAGATAAAACCCAAGAGAGAAAAGGTGGGTGACTGGCTTTAGAATAGCTAGACTGAGTAGGTAGAGTGCGAGCAATTTCATTCTCTTAACTCAGTATAGGGAGCTTGTGAGCTACATAGGGCAAGACACGGGGCCAAGGAGCTCAAATTCCTCCACTTTTCGCAGTTTGTAAACCCCACAATGCAAACGGACGTAATATTGTCGGATGTTACATCTTGCGTCTGTTTGCACACGCTGTTGCATGTTGTTGAGAGTAGTTGCGCAAATTAAAGTTTGAAACCCGGTCAAACTTTTAGCTACGAACAATTTTGGAAGTTGTTGCGTCCGTTTGCACGTAGCTTTACAGAAACGCATTTCAGTGGCTGCGCTAAAGGTTCTTCATACGCGAACTCGGAAGATAGAGTTATCGTGCGTAGAAACGAGAAAAATACTGTTCAGCGGCTTTAACCCTATGGTAACACTCCCAAATCTCATCTTTACACTCCAATTTAGAATCAAACTATCGTAGTTCCTCGAATAAGCGCCCGGGACGCTTAATAAAATTGCGGCTGATAGGAGAGGCGTGTATTGGTAGAGGGCAGGAGAGCGTTTAATCGAAGGGGGCGGCGCGCTTATTAAGTTTTCCCGTCAACAAACTGTTGCTTTATTTTGGCTAAATATTAAATAGAAAAACAAAAACTACATCTTTATCCTCGCCAGCGTTAATTCAATATTAAGGTCTTTCGTTGCTAAAAAACAATCGTTGGTTGTCAAGCGTACCGTAGTTCCATTGTACACTTTATACACAGATGTATCAATATGAATGTTGTAGTTGAAACTTAAAAGGTAACACATAGTGGCAATAGAAACAGGTTTTCCTTGTATCCCTACTATTGAAGACAGTGAAGGGGGAAGGGCGGGGGCGCGTATTAGAGAGGGGCACTTGTTCAGTGATATTTTGGCTTAGGGGGTGGGCGCTTCGTCGGGGGGCGCTTATTCGAGGAAATATGGTAGTTCTTATTCTGGAATTTGGTGAGCGTGCTTCTGATTGGCTGTGTGGTTATTCTTTGAAGGTGGCAAGGTTGGAGAGAAATTATCACCTCAGTAAACGTGAACTTGAGAAGATCGAGAAAGAAGTGAGGGCTTTGGATGAAGAATTGAAGAATCTGGGTGAGAAATACGACGCTGCCATGCGGGAGAGAGCAAGCCTGCAGGAAGAAGCGGAGATTATGGAAAGGCGACTAATAGCCGCGGACAAGCTTATCTCTGGTCTGGGGTCGGAGAAAGTTAGGTAAAGAGTTCGTGAAAGTCTTTATTTATCAGCTAAATTAGTAGGCGAATCACCAAATGCTTTGATTAAATCCGGGTGGAGAGACAAGAGTCCTGTATTGGCGATATAGCTGTATGACTCTCTGGAGGGTGTGGTGTAGCTACCTGCCTGGTGTGGTTAACGTTTTAAGAAGTATCCAAAGTCTCAGCTTAGGTATAGGATCAAAGATTTTTAGTGTAGAAAAAGAGTGTTATTTTTTAAGTACCTGGTTAAATTGAATAACGTACACTTAAGCTTCTATTTGAATGTGATACCGTACACAATATTTTACTTACGCGCTTGGTGATTGGGTGAAGTTTTATCTGTATTTCTGCAGATGGACAGAAGACTTGGAAGAGTTGAAGCTTCAACGTGTCCGTCTGTTGGGTGACTGTCTCCTGGCTTCAGCTTTCCTCAGCTATTTGGGCGCCTTCACCTGGGACTTCCGCCGGGACATGTTCCGAGGGGAGTGGGAGAAAGATGTCTTAAACCGGGGTATCCCTGTAAGCCAGCCGTTCAAACTAGACACTTTCCTTACTAATGATGTGGAGATCAGTCGTTGGACTTCCGAGGGTCTCCCGCCAGATGAACTGTCAATAGAGAATGGTATTCTGACCACACAGGCCAGCAGGTATCCGCTGTGCATCGATCCGCAGCAGCAGGCGCTTAACTGGATCAAGAAAAAGGAAGAGAAGAACAATTTAAAGGTGAGTTGAACTCACGTTTGAAAAGAAATTGTAAATAACGCGTCGTAAATGTACTACGTGATCAAATGTTGATATGCACTGTGCAATGGTAACCTTACTTTTTAGAGGCTTCGAATAAATATTATTCCTTTTTTAGGTCGTGACGTTCAACGACCCTGATTTCCTGAAGCAACTGGAACTGGCCATCAAGTATGGCTTCCCAATCCTGTTCAAGGACGTCGATGAGTACATAGATCCTGTCATTGATAATGTACTAGACAAGAACATCAAAGGTAAATAAATAAAAAAACTGACTTGGAGGGAAAATGTATTAATTAGAGCGCTTTTCTCCTCGTGATTTTTCGTGCGGCCTCACCGCTCGTTTTCTCGGTTAATCCCTCACCGTTATCCAACAAAACTGCCAGATATGCAGGATAGAAAATGTGCAAGAACAAACGAATGAATAAACCGTCAAAAAAGTGACCTAAGGGCTTAAAGAAACCAAAACAGTTTGAACAAACGAGTGTAATTGAATAATTGCAGTCGATCCTCCTGTGAGCGATCACCCCAAATGACAAGATTTGGTAGTCGCTTATTAGAGTTTCCAACTAGATTGCTTGGACTGACAAAACTGATTCTGGTGTTTTGGATAGGTGGTCGCCTAAGGATAGCCTGCGAGCAAACGCTCCATTTCGGGAATATCGTGAAAAGTCACGCGCGAGTGGCACACGCGAGAGATGGGGTGGGGATCCTCACCTCCCCCGTCCCCTGCGGCTTTGCTGCTTGCTCATGCCTTCTCCCGCGGCTCCCTTTGCTAACCCACTCGAAATGAAGGGTGTGCTGGTACGTTACTTATGAAAGATGGTCACACAGGACGGAATGCAGCTTTGACAAGGCCTCACAGGGCTGACTTGAAAAAGAATAAACAGGCAACAGTGACAATGTACCCTCACCCTAAAACGATAGAGCTGCGTGCTATGTGTATCCTATGAAACTAGATTTTCTAGAGGGTGCTTACTGTCCGCTCACATAGAGGTTCGACTGTACTTACCTTTTTATTTATTTATTTACTTATTTATTTATTTATCCATCTATCTATCGATTTCAGGGGAGCCTGGTCGGGAGTTTGTTGTACTTGGAGATAAAGAAGTTGACTACGATCCGAGTTTTCGATTGTACCTGAACACGAAGCTCTCCAACCCTAAGTACACCCCGACTCACTTCAGTCGCTGTATGGTGGTGAACTACACTGTAACCATGAAGGGACTGGAGGATCAGCTGCTGAGTGTTATTGTAGGATTTGAAAGGAAAGAACTGGAAGAACAGAGGGAAAGATTAATTCAAGAAACAAGGTCAGGACAGAAAACTTGAGTTTAGAGCTTGCACTCGCTTGCACTTTCAAGTTTGCTTAAAACAATACTATCATCGAAACCGAGAAAAAGTAACGAAAGACTTATAATGGACTGTTCAAACCTTAGAGTGAAAATTCATGACCATTTTCTGCGGTGGTAACAGGAAAACTTTACCGCAGTTGTCATTTAATGTTACGAATCTTTGGGTTTCATGTTACGTACAGACAAGAAGTACCGTACCTTGTATATCGTAGAAACAATATTAAAGGAAAGTGATTTTCGTGAATTTTCGTTGAAATCTTCATTTCGTTTGGCGTGTCTCGGTGTAGGTATTTATCCACAGAGTTTTAAGGGGTGAAATTACAAAATTGAATTTTGAACTCGACTTACATAGTATGTGCAGTTTGATATCAAAACTTAAAAGGTTAATATATATGATGTGAAATCTATGTTGCAGTGATAACAAGCGACTTCTGAAAGATCTTGAGGACACTCTTCTTCGGGAACTCGCCACTTCTCAAGGGAACATGTTGGATAACGTGGAGCTTGTTCAGACTCTAGAGGATACCAAGTCTAAAGCAGTCGAGGTAAATGTTCTTTTATTTTGTATTTGAATGATATATTTTTTGCGACTATTAAAAGGGAAAAAAAAGGTAACACTATTCGCCACTTTAGAAAAGAGAAAGAGACTGGGTCGAGTTAACTTTCGCAAAGGCTTCTGGGACTGTTTGTAGGGACCGGCGCGTCCCCAGTAACGATCCCAGAAACAACTGCGGGACATATTTCGGCTCCAGTTCCCTTCTCGTCTTGGCGAATTGAATTTGACACTCCAGTACTTTTCACTAGTCTTCGTGTGTTGTTTTGTTTAAGTACCCAAAGTTAGTTTGATTGGTCGATGGCTTTTAAAAACAATCATTAACCAATCATAGCTTAGGCTTCGTTTAAACTATGCCAAACTAGTTGCTCTCGTAAGTTAAAAATAAACTATCCCAGAACACTAGAACTCATTCTACCCTCGGTTTCTTAAGGGGCGGTCTGTGGTCAGATACTTGTCTTTCACAAATCGTCGATGAATTCCTTAGGCCCGGTTCAGACGCCGCTCCTCTCATGTGCTGAACCTAACTGATGAATTAAGTACGGCAAAAGAGCGGCGTCTGAATCAATTTGGTACGGCAGTTTACGTTTGGTGCGGCAAAAGCGTTAAGTTCGACAGAGTCTGTCGAACTTTTGTCGAACTTAACTTAGGTTTGACACACGGTACCCCGTCTGAATCAGATGTCGCGCCAGTGTCGCTCCAAAGTCGAACTTACTCAGTTAGGTTCGGCACATGAAAAGTACGGCGTCTGAACCAGGCCTTACTTGCGTTTCTGACACTTTCTGTGACCACGTTGGGTCAATGGTGGGTTCTTTCAACTTATAGTTTAATTTTGCTGTTTGTTCAGGTCGCTGAAAAGCTCAAACTTGGCGCCAAAACAGCAGTTGACATAGACAAGCTCCGCGATGGCTACAGGCCAGCGGCTAAACTAGGAGCCGTTTTATTCTTCGTGTTATCAGAGATGTCAGCTGTTAACTCCATGTACCAGTACTCTCTGGCGTCCTACCTTCAACAGTTTGATTTGTCCTTAAGGAAAAGCTTGCCCGACTCCATTCTACCAAAGCGACTGAAAAACATCATGGACACACTAACCATGAATGTGTACAACTATGCTTGTACTGGTAAGTATCCTCTTTTTAGTAGAGCGTGATAATGGCGAAAAATGCTTTCAATCATATGGTCAATGAGAGAGTAACCAATCATGTGGTACAAAAGAGACTCTCGTCCCTGTCCTGACTAGGCGAGCGTTGTATGGACGAATTGTAGCAGTCCTTTACTGTCGAACCGAGAACACCAGTATTTTGTTCTCGAATGTTTTTGAACCGAAAGGGAAGAAACGATCAGTTTTGAGATAGAAAAACCGTGAAAAGGTTTAGGTCATTAGTGTATGATTTGTTCGTGTCTTGATCTCCCACATGATAGCGGAATGACATCATCAACTCTCGCGAAATATCCCAGGCATTCACGCGTTTCGTTCACTACCAGTATGAGCCACAAGTTGCTCTTAATTTTAAGACTCTGGGTTACAAGGCAAATGTTAAGTTTTTAAAGTTGAAAAGTACGTAAGAAAGGTAAATTACTATCGTCATACGTCCTTGACGTCTTATTTAAACACCCGAAAACACTCCTTTAGAACAATGCCACGAGAGATTTACCAATGTCCTGAAATCTATAAACTCGTACCCGTCAACATCTTCAATTATTGATACAATAAAAAACATTTACCATTGATGATCATATTGCAACAACCTCGTAACTTTAGTTCTTTATCAGCTGCAACTTCCTGTATCTCGCGCCATATATGTAAGTGCAACTTAATGTTATCTCTTATATTTGGTACCATGCATATATCTTGTATTAACTACCGACCTGGATTAGCTACTGCTACTCACGGGTAGATACTACCTCTTCCAATTCATGCTATAATAAAGTTGTTGTTGTTGTTGTTATTGTTGTACACAACTGTCAAATTGCTATGTTTACTCCAATTGTTTTCTTTGTTATTTTCTAGGATTGTTTGAACGTCACAAGCTTCTGTTTTCTTTCCAAATGACCATCAAAATCCTGGAGGCGGACGGCAAGTTAAACCCAGAGGAGCTGGATTTCTTCCTGAAGGGTAACATCTCCCTGGAGAAGAGCTCCCGTACAAAGCCCTTTCCTTGGCTGCCTGATCAGGGCTGGGAAGATATACAGAGACTGATAACCGTCACTCCAGAGGCCTTTAGCTCATTGGCTGATGACATAGAAAGAAACGGTCAAGCATGGAAGGAGGTATGGTTCCTTAGTTAAATCATTGTCTGGTATGATTGTTTCTCGCCGGAGCCGGGTTGTACAAAGTTAAGAGGAAACTGGACGGAGTTAACTTTCGCAGAGACCTTTGGGACTGTTCTAGGGGCACGGAAAAAATGGCCAATAGCTGACCGGCGCATCACCGGTAACGATCTCAACAATTGCGGGACACCTTTCGGCACCAGTCCCCTGTCCTCTTATGGTTTCTAAGGTGTCGAATGTTAGAGCGAAATTGAATTCGGATATGAAAGCTTAAAAAGTACAAGTTCAGTTTAAAGACAAATTCAGTTAAATTAAACCCTTTTAAAACTTTTTGTTTCAAATTTGACCGTTGGATGCTCTAAAAATACAATACAAAAGACTGAAAATTTTTGGGTACAACATTGAGTTAGCCGAATAGGTGTATTATTTTTGCGTCCAATTTGACTGTTGGTTGCTCTAAAAACAAGACAGACAATTTTCCGAGAAAATACTTTTCAACAAAAGAAAGAGAAACGCATACAAAATTTAACCCCGGGTTAACGCTAAACGGCGTTGGAACATCTGGGCCCTGAGGGTCGTCCTTAACAAAATTTTTTTGGTGCTGACTGATTAGATTTCTGGAGATGTGTCAATAAAATATCTGCCTCCAATCCAAGGAGTGTAGAAGATGAGCAGCTTTGTAGGTCGTTACCGCAAGGATTCTGTAGTCATTTACATTGCCAGCCTATCGCTTCCTCTTTTGACTGATAAGGTGCGGGTAATAGTTTCATGTTTAAAAGTCAGATGAACACATTTCAATTTTTTTTTCTTTTTAATACTTTAAATGTATTTCCTTTTAGTGGAATGATCACGATTCTCCTGAATCCGCGCCCTTCCCTGGCAAATACGAAGAGAGCCTGACAGACTTCCAACGTCTCCTGCTACTCCGTTGTTTCCGCGTGGATAGAGTATACCTCGCCATCACAAACTTCGTGACCGGAAGGATGAGCGAGAAGTATGTTACCCCGCCGGTGATCAGCTTTGAGGCGATATTCGAGCAGTCCAATCCCTTCTCCCCTATTATCTTCATCCTCAGTCCTGGTTCGGATCCTGCCAGTGATCTTATGAAGCTGGCTGAGAGGTCAGGATTTGGCGGTAACAAACTCAAATTTCTTGCCATGGGACAGGGACAGGAGAAGGTAAGCGTGTCAGTGAGCTTAAGCAACTAAGACGTTTTTGAGCGACGCACGTCAACCGGAAGTCAACTTTTTATATTCTTGGGCATTGGTTTTGTCCAAATTTTCAAGTAAGGAGTCTCTATGCACGTAGCAGTACTAATTTAGAAGCGTCACATGTGGTATATCCAAAGGGAAAAGAGCCCACTTCCGGGTGATGCGCGTCGTTCAAAAACACCTTTGCTTAATCTCCCTTTTACTATCCCTGAGATGCTTTTTGTTCAATGATAGTTAACTATCAGGTAACTCTATCCTAACGGGCACTTGTGTAGACGAATATCCCTCTCCCCTGATACAGACATCCCCTTCCCACTAACACAGACCCAATGAGTTGGTCCCTGCCGGTTTTCAGTTTCTTTTTCTTGATTGTTTGTTTGTTTGTTTGCCTCTCTGCAAGGCCTACACTTACTGCTGGTGACAGAGGTGAAAGCTTTGACATTCTTAAGCCGAGCAACGTTCTCTAAACTTTTGAAGTACTTCGCGAGCTGTCGCTTAAATCAAAAGAAACACTTTTTCCTCCATCAATTCCCTTAGTATGTGAACGAAAACAAAACACTCAACATCAAGCCTTACTACCTGTTTTGTTATTCGTTTTACAGTTGGCGTTGCAACTCCTTGAGACAGCGATAGCAAGGGGTCAGTGGCTAATGCTTCAAAATTGCCACTTGTTGGTGAAGTGGCTGAGAGAATTAGAGAAGGTCCTGGAGCGAATCAGCAAACCTCATCCCGATTTTAGGCTGTGGCTCACTACAGACCCCACTCCAGAGTTCCCTATTGGCATTCTACAAAGGTCCCTCAAGGTATTGTACACAGTGCAAATTATTGTTCATATTTAAGAATACGATAAAGGATGAGACCTCAGTTCTATAATTTATCTCGTTGAAAAGCGTTTATGTTACAGCATTTTTTCTCTTGGTTACTCGCAGTACCAAAGAAGTTATGCATGCCCGAACCAGAGCGACTAGGCTAAAAAACCAAGATCTAGACCAGACCAAGTCACTTGTGTATGTTTAGCCTGCGGGCAAGCTATCCATTTCAAATGGCAAGGCAAGCGAGTTGTGAACGAACACGCGAGCGGTGTCTCCTTCCGCCTCTTAAGGCATCCCCCAAAGTGAGAGTTACTAGCAAGTTATTGTATATTGAGTGAGAGTGACTTTATTTTTGTCTCCTATTTAGGTTGTCACTGAGCCGCCAAATGGTCTTAAGCTGAACCTGCGCAGTACATATCACAAGATAACCAATCAGGCACTTGCTGATTGCCCGCACCAGTCCTTCTCGCCTCTTGTGTATGTAGCATATTTTCCCATATATAATAAATGTTTCCAGTCTGTCCTGTCGCTGCCAGTTTCTAAATTTTTTAGCGCATTATACGAAAACAGAGTCAGACCTTGCTTGCAACTTGGGTCTTTTTGCGTTCTACATTTTTAAGGAAGAACGACTGCTTGCATGCTATCTCCCGCCCCCACTAGCCTCCTCCAATGCGTTAGATTAGTTTGTTTTCCTTGTGACCCAAGCAAAATTATTTACTGCATTTAGATATTGTGACTGAACGGAATAAGTTCTTCCCCGTTTGTTGTTTAATTGTAAAATAAAATGAAAGCATGTCACTGCTAAGGTATACATGTTAGCGAAATACTGATGCGTAAATTTACTATCTTTTTAACAGATATGTGTTGGGGTTCTTCCACGCTGTGGTGCAAGAAAGAAGAAAGTACGGCAAGATTGGTTGGAACATCGCTTATGACTTCAACGAGTCGGACTTCAGAGTCTGCATGACATTACTGAACACTTATCTAACTAAATCACTTGAGAGTCCGGACAAAAGAATCCCTTGGGCCAGTTTGAAATACCTCATAGGCGAGGTGGGTAGCTAGTTAAGCGGTTGTTAAGTTAAAAATCAGCTGTATATATAGAACTTGCAACTATTTATTGCACAGAGCCCAAATAGTCGGTTTGTGTAACCAGTTATTTTTCGATGTAAAACGTGTTATTTAAGGTACGTACGTTTTACAGTTTAAAACACGTTGATATAAATCCGATTCATATTGCATTTATAAATTACAGTTACACTAAGCTGTTTATTGATGTGTCCTGGTTACAATCATTTCAGACTATCACAATGTTTCATAGTCCTATTGGTGGCCAACTGTTTTATATTGCTGCGGTAAACTGATGGCCCTTAGAACCAAAAATTTTCTGGGCCTGTCGATGGTCGTAGGTAGCCCCTTCGAAACATTTGGATCTGTTTATCATTAGTTCGATCCCTTTCATGGCCTCAACAAAAAATGGGAATGCCCGGCCTTTTTATACCCCCCGTATGTTATTGCCCAAGTTCCCGCGAAGATAATCTCATGTATTCTTGAGATGTATGGTTTTCAAGCAGTTTTATAGTTTGGGATGAAGTATAGGAATCAAAGGGTATTATGCGAAATTTAGCAGTGGGTATAGAATTAAAGTGAATTAGAGTTAGAGTGTTTGTTTAATAATTGTAAAAAGTGTTGCAAGATAGGATTGAAAATCTGTCTAAAATAGCCTTAGGGTCTCCGCCTCCCCCGGAACAAACTACAGATGAGAGTGGGTATCGTTACGGTAGAACAGATAGAGACCGAAGCCACTCGAGTGAAATCTCTAGATCCTGATAATTTCAGCCTCACTTCCGATTTGTCGCGTTTTAACTTCTTTTTCTGTTCTAACAATATTCGTTTTTGGGTTGTGAACTTTACTGCTTAAGTTGATAACAACTTGAAATTATAACCTTCCTTCAGGTGATGTATGGTGGTCGTGTGATCGATGATTTTGATCGCCGTGTGGTCAAGACGTACATGGACGAGTACATGGGAGACTTTATCTTTGACACTTTCCAGCCATTCCACTTCTACAAAAACGAAGAGGTGGACTATTTTATCCCCAAACCTGAAAAAGGTGAGTGTTCATAATAGGTCCATTGTTTTATCTGTAAGTACATGCTGAGAATTCAGAGAATTATAGGGATAAAAACTTATCTTCTCGAAAATTAGATTTTAGATCTATAACCATTTTGTCGATGTTCGAGAGGTGTCAAAATTCTAGATCTCAAATCGTGAGTTTTTCCCGAAAATTGCTTTGCCCCTGTCCCTCCCCCCTCCCATTTCAGTTCAAATTCTTTGTTATCCCTTCACTTTTGTGTAGATTTTTCGATGATTGCACAACTCCCTCCTACTACAAGAGATATCCGTTAATGACCGTTACCAGTAACATCGGGAAAAATGGTTTGACATTTATCCACGTGAATGAGCCATTGTGGCTTACTATTTAAGGTTGAATGCACTGTGAAAATAATAGAGAAAAGGAGCGTTTTTGGTCCAGCAGATAATCCAAACTCCCTTGTAACGAGTACATGTTTTCAAACGAGCCTTCTCATTCATGTAAGCTTAAGAGGTTCAGAGTGTATTGCTAAAGAAAGTTAAGAGTTAATCCACAGAATTCTTGAAATTTTCACCTTGTAGCAGTTACCACTTCTTTCAGAATCAAGACACAATATTCGAGACGTGTCTGGATTGCAGCGGCCTCTACTTATGAGTATTTTCTGCGTTGTTGTGGTAAATGAACAACTATTAAGGGGAGCAAGAGTGGTGCAGTGGTGAGAGCACTCGCCACCCACCAATGTGGCCCGGGTTCAAATCCCGTCGTCGACCGGCCCTATATGGCTTGAGTTTGTTGGTAGTTCTCTCCCATACTCCGAGAAATTATTCTCCAGGTACTCCAGTTTTCCGCTCACCTCAAAACCAACAATTCCAATTCGATCTGGAACGCACGAACGCGACACGTTTTTAAGAACTCGTAAGTGTTTTTTAGGTAAACCAATTATAATATATCTTTTAGGTGCCTCTGAGAGTAACCGAGACTTGTACGCAGACGCCATCGAAGCCCTACCCTTATCCAACACCCCGGACGTATTTGGACTCCACCCCAACGCCGAGATCGGCTACTACACGCACTCAGCCAAGGATATGTGGAGTCACTTGGTTGAACTACAGCCGCAGACGGGCGGGGAGTCGGGGGGTGTAAGCAGGGAAGAGTTTATCGGGAAAATAGCCACTGATATCCAGGGCAAGTTACCACCATTGTTTGATGTGGACAGAGTGAGGAAGAGCATAACGGATATCACGCCCACGTACGTGGTATTGCTGCAGGAACTGGATAGGTTTAATGTTCTCATCAGGAAAATGTCGACCTCGCTTATTAACCTTCAAAGGGTAAGCTGCAGGCAAACGCGTCTCACTTATCATTTCATCCCCTTCCCTTCCCCAACGTTTAATATTGAGGGCCTTCACATGACATCACGGCGGCCATATTGGTGTTCTAAAACAACGAAACGGCGCCAATGGTAGTTAAACCAATCTTGTGAGATTTGAACTCTTTTCTTAAGTAAACGCTTTCTTTTGCTGCAATAAATTTGCATAGATGCTGGCCCGCACATGAGTGAAAACGCTCTGTTCTCTACCTTCGCCTATCATTGTTCGAATTTAATTCGCATAATTTATTGCTAGTTTGTACATTTACTTTTTTACTCTGAGTGTTATTGGCGTTCCCTGGTGCATCACGTACTTACCGCAGTATTGTTTTTCTTTTTCCCAGGCCCTTGCGGGTGAAGTGGGAATGAGCAGTGAACTGGACGAAGTTGCGCGTGCGCTGTTCAACGGTCAAATTCCTAACATTTGGCGCAAGCTGGCTCCAGCGACTCTCAAGTCTCTTGGAAACTGGATGGAACATTTCCTGAAACGCTTGAACCAGTATAACCAATGGGTGAGTGCTTCGTTCTTGTGTCGTTGGCGCATAGTTGTTCTTTTTGAATCGCAAAGTCAGTCTTGGCTTGATGAGATTTATTTGCGTTTCTTTTCGGAAGTTATATTTTTGTGATTTTCCATTAAAACACCAGGTTCAATTGCAGATTTTGTGCGTGAATTCGTTAAGTGAAATCCCTGGTTTGCCATACCCGGATTCCTTTATTTATTATATACATTTTGAAATCACTGGTGATCCCTGCAATCTTATTGGCTCTCAGCAGAGTGTTTTTTTTAGGATCACGCTATTTTTTGCTCTAAATCACAATTGTTCGAAATCGCGCCATTCATGCTCTAAATCGCATCATTTCTGTTTTAACTCGCACCATTTCTGTTTCGAATACAAAATGAGATGTAAACGTTTTTGTTTCCACTTTTTGAGAAACCGGCTACTTGATCAATGAAATATTAGTACGAACTGAATTTTGTGATTTCAAATGGCTGTAATAAAGTGGTAATCGAACTTTGTGTCGAGTAATTTTGGTCTGAAATCATTGAAATCACGCGTATTATTTCAGACCAACTTGCACTCCACTCAGTTCAATTACCATCATCAAACTCACCCTTGGGGGTTCAAGAAGGGGCACTGTCAATAAATCGGGACCTTTTTCAACGCATATTCTACCAGAGCAGTAACTCGTTAAGTAATTTCGTTTATTTTGCTTGTAGGTCAATGAAGGCGAACCTGCAGTAATCTGGTTATCTGGTCTGCACATCCCTGAATCATATTTGACAGCTCTAGTGCAAGCTACCTGTCGTAAGAACGGCTGGCCATTGGATCGTTCCACTTTATACACTACCGTCACTAAATACAGAACCGCCGAGGAAGTTACCGAGAGGGCGCATTCAGGCTGTTTTGTCAGCGGTCTATATCTAGAGGGTGCCTCCTGGGACCTTGAGTCAGCATGCCTTCGAAGACCCAAGCCGAAGGTCCTTGTTGAGGAACTTCCGATCCTAAAAGTGATCCCCATTGAGGCACACAGGCTTAAGCTGCAGGTAACTTGAAAAACCCCTGTTTCGTTCTGTTAAATTTGGGAAACATTCAGCATTAGGAACTAGGCACTGCTTCAACACTTTTGTATCACGTAACATAGACGGAAATAATTCTGAATATTTCACTTTCAAACATTCCATCTACAGGCTAAAGTGTACAGGATAGACAACAATACTACTGGAATAAAAATATCGCTAAGAGGGCTCCACCTCGTAAAGGTCAAAAGCCCGAGCTCTTATTTGTGACATGACAAACATCTTCCAATAATCTATGAACCATTTTCCACTCACACAGTGGTTGTTTCAAACACGAGACGCAGAAACCTCGTTCGAAAAGCACATAGTATATGTTTCGACTGAATGGTTACATCGCAGGATTTCCTTTTAGATCATTATTTTCTCACACGTTTTTTTTTTTTCATTTTAGAATACCTACCGTTCGCCAGTATATACAACATCTCAGCGTCGCAACGCTATGGGAGTGGGTTTAGTGTTTGAAGCAGACTTGGCGACGCATGAACATATTTCTCACTGGGTGTTGCAGGGTGTATGCCTAACACTTAACTCAGACTAGAATGCGTTATTGCTACCAGTTAACCAACTTTATCCTTTCCTTATTAAGATCTTCTCTTTTTAAGATACGCAATTTTCTTTTGCAAATTAATCAGTGGCAAACAACATCTTTTAAGTAACTCACCTCTTGTTTAAGGTCATAAATTTTACTGTTCTTTGTATTCCTAAATCTGCTCTGCTTCGCAGATACTTTCTTACGCAAAGTTAATAACCTCACGCGATTCTTTTACGAGAGAAGAAGGGAGGGAATAAGAATTACAGATATTCATACGTATTACTTGCTTGGGGTTTGTCATACGAAGCAAAACCATTTTTTGAAGTAGGAAGTTTCAAGTTTGTATTTGTTTGCGTTTTGCTTCTATTCCAATGACATGTTAATTTTTTAGAATTATTTTGTTTAAGAGTGTTTAAAAAATATTATTGTATTTTGTGTTGTAAATAAAATATACCAGGCCTTTTAAAAAGGCACTTACTAAAAAATTATAACTTTCTCTGAGTTTGTTTTCCTTTAAAACAGGCCTAGATAAACTATCTGATTATGTTCTAGACAGAAAGCAAGGCTACAAAAAAACATTAGCGCAAAGTCGAAAAATTCACATTTTGCCAAAGTGATTAACCCATGGTTTTGGCCAAAAATTTGAAATTTCTTCTCGGATTGTTTTTCTTTAAGATAGGCCTAGGTAATCTATTTGATCATGTTCGACATAGAAAACAAGGCTTTGTGGACCATAAAAATGACATTAGAGCGAAGTCGAAAAATTTGCATTTTTCCAAGGAGGCTAACCCATGGTTTTGGTCTAAAATTTGAGATTTTCTCTCAGTTTGTTTTTCTTTTGAAAAGGCTTAGATATAATGTTCCATTAAGTTCTTAAAAGAAAACAAGGCATTTTAGAAGTGACGTTAGAGCAAAATCCAAAAATTTTCATTTTTTCAAGGGCCTAACCCATAGTTTTGGTCAAGATTTCGGAATTTTTTTCTTTGTTTCTTTTTCTTTAACATTGACCTAGATATACTGTTTGGTTACCTTTTAGATAAAAACAAGGCTTTCTAGACTATAAAAATGACATTAGAGCATTATTTAAGTAAAAAAGGCCTAGAAATAATCTTTAGCGATAGTCTAGAAAGGGAAGAAGCTTTTCAGGAAGAAACTGAAAATGTCACTGATTTTGTATTGTCCGACTAATACGTATTTTCCGGAGGGGTTAACCCATTGTTTCGGTAAGAAAATTCAAAATTGTTTCTAGTTTGTTGTTCAATTAAACTAGGCTTCGGAATAATGTTGAGTGATGTTGTAGATAGAAAACAAGCCCTTCTAAACAATAAAACTGTCAATAAAAATGGATATTTTCCAAAGGGGTTAACCCATGGTTTCAATCAAAAATTCCAAAATTTTTTCTAGCTTCTTTTTCAGTAAAGCAGGCTTAGAAATAATGTTGAGCTGTGGTCTGGAAGGAAAAGAAGCTTTTCAGGACAAAAAATGTCAATTTTGTAAAGTCTAAAAAATGGGTATTTTCCAAAGGTTTCAAAATAGTTTCGGTAAAAAAATCTAAAATTTTTTCTAGTTTCTTTTTTAGTAAAATAGGCCTAGAAATAATGTTAAGCTATGGTCTAGAAAGAAAAAAAGCTTTTCAGGACGATGAAAATGTCAAATAAAGTCCAAAAAATGGATATTTTCCCAACTTTTTTTTTAGGCAATATAGCCAAGGAAAATGTCTTTTACAATATTCTAGAACAAAAAAAAAGCCTTTCTAGGCTATAAAAACAACAAGTTCAAAATGTCGAAAAATTGACATTTTTCCAAAGGGGTTACCCATGGTTTTGGTCCAAAAATAGCCATTTTTCCAAGTTTTTTTTTTTAGTCAATATAGGCAAGGAAAATGTCTTTTACGATATTCTAGATCAAAAAAAAGGCATTTCAAGGCTATAAAAACAAGAAGTTCAAAAAGTCGAAAAATTGACATTTTTTTAAAGGGGTTAACCCATGGTTTTGGTGCAAAAATGGCCATTTTTCTAACTTTCATTTTTTACGACATATATGCCAGGAAAATGTCTTTTACGATATTCTAGAACGAAAAAACGGCTTTCTAGGCTATAAAAACAAAAAGTTCAAGAACTTGAAAAATTGAAATTTTTCCACAGGGGTTAACCCATGGTTTTGTCCAAAAATGGTCATTTTTCCAACTTTTTTTTTTTAGGCAATGTAGGCCAGGAAAATGTCTTTTACGATATTCTAGAACGAAAAAACGCCTTTCTAGACTATAAAAGCAAGAAGTTCAAAACGTCAAAAAATTGACATTTTTCCGAAGGGGTTAACCCATGGTTTTCGTCCAAAAATGGCCATTTTTCCAACTTTTATTTTTTAGAAATACAAATACAGGCCAAGAAAATGTCTTTTACGATATTCTAGAACGAAAAAACGCCTTTCTGGGCTACAAAAACAAGAAGTTCAAAAACTCAAAAAATTGACATTTTTCCAAAGGGGTTGACCCATGGTTTTGGTCCAGAAATGGCTATTTTTCAACCTTTTATTTTTTAGGAAATATATGCCAGGAAAATGTCTTTTACGATATTCTAGAACGAAAAAACGCCTTTCTAGACTATAAAAACTAGAAGTTAAAAAACTCAAATTGACATTTTTCCAAAGGGGTTAAGCCATAGTTTTGGTCCAAAAATGACCATTTTTCCAACTTTTTTTTTTAGGCAATGTAGGCCAGAAAGATGTCTTTTACGATATTCTAGAACGAAAAAACGCCTTTCTAGTCTATAAAAACAAGAAGTTCAAAAAGTCGAAAAATTGACATTTTTCCATTTTTCCATGGTTTTGGTCCAAAAATGGCCATTTTTCACACTTTTATTTTTTAGAAAACACACGCGAAGAAAATGTCTTTTACGATATTCTAGAACGAAAAAACGCCTTTCTAGGCTATAAAAACAACAAGTTCAAAAACTCGAAAAATTGACATTTTTCCAAAGTGGTTAACCCATGGTTTTGGTCCAAAAATGGCCATTTTTCAGACTTTTATTTTTTGGGAAATAAATGCCAGGAAAATGTCTTTTACGATATTCTAGGAGGAATAAACGCCTTTCAAGGCTCTAAAAACATCAAGTTCAAAAACTCGAAAATTAACATTTTTCCAAAGGGGTTAACCCATAGTTTTGGTCCAAAAATGGCCATTTTTTAAACTTTTATTTTTTAGGAAATACAGGCCAACAAAACGTTTCTCAGGATATTCTAGAACGAAAAAACGCCTTTCTAGGCTATAAAAACAAGAAGTTCAAAAACTCAAAAATTAACATTTTTCCAAACGGGTTAAGCCATGGTTTTGGTCCAAAAATGGCCATTTTTCCAACTTTTTTTTTTAGGCAATGTAGGCCAGAAAAATGTCTTTTACGATATTCTAGAACGAAAAAACGCCTTTCTAGACTATAAAAACAATAAGTTCTAAAAGTCGAAAAATTGACATTTTTCCAAAAGGCTTAACCCATGGTTTTGGTCCAAAAATGGCCATTTTTCCAATTTTTATTTTTTAGGAAATACAGGCCAAGAAAATGTCTTTTGCGATATTCTAGAACGAAAAAACGCCGTTCTAGGCTATAAAAACAAGAAGTTCAAAAACTCAAAACTTGACATTTTTCCAAAGGGGTTAAGCCATGGTTTTGCTCCAAAAATGGCCATTTCTCCAACTTTTTTTTTTACGCAATGTAGGCCAGAAAGATGTCTTTTACGATATTCTAGAACGAAAAAACGCCTTTCTAGGCTATAAAAACAAGAAGTTCAAAAAGTCGAAAAATTGACATTTTTCCAAAGGGGTTAACCCATGGTTTTGGTCCAAAAAATTGCCATTTTTCCAACTGTTTTTTTTAAGAAAATATAGGCCAGTAAAATGTCTTTTACGAGTTCTAGAACGAAAAAACGCCTTTTTAGGCTATAAACACAAGAAGTTAAAAACTCGAAAAATTGACATTTTTCCAAAGGGGCTAACCCATGGTTTTGGTCCAAGTCGAAAAATTGACATTTTTCCAAACGGGTTAAAAAATGGCCATTTTTCCAACTTTTATTTCTTAGAAAATATTTGCCAGGAAAATGTCTATTACGATATTCTAGAACGAAAAAACGCCTTTTTAGGCTACAAAAAAGAGAAGTTCAAAAACTCGAAAAACTGACATTTTTTCAAAATGGTTAAGCCATGATTTTGGTCCAAAAATGGCCATTTTTCCAGCTTTTATTCCTTAGGAAATAAATGCCAGGCAAATACCTTTTACGCTATTCTAGAACGAAAAAACGCCTTTCTAGACTATAAAAACAAGAACTTCAAAAAATCGAAAAATTCACATTTTTCCAAAGGGGTTAAGCCATGGTTTTGGTCCAAAAATGGCCATTTTTAAAACTTTTTTTTAGGCAATGTAGGCAAGAAAAATGTCTTTTGCGATATTTTAGAACGAAAAAACGTCTTTCTAGACTATAAAAACAAGAAGTTCAAAAAATCGAAAAATTGACATTTTTCCAAAGGGGTTAACCCATAGTTTTGCTCCAAAAATAACCATTTTTCCAACTTTTATTTTTTAAGAAATAGAGGCCAGGAAAGTGTCTCTTACGATATTCTAGAAGGAAAAAACGCTGTTCTAGACTATAAAAACAAAAAGTTAAAAAAGTCGAAAAATTGACATTTTTCCAAAGGGGTTAACCCATGGTTTTGGTCCAAAAATGGCCACTTTTCCAACTGTTTTTTTTAGGCAATGTAGGCCAGAACAATGTCTTTTACGATATTCTAAAACGAAAAAACGACTTTCTAGACTATAAAAACAAGAAGTTCAAAAAGTCGAAAAATTGACATTTTTCCAAAGGGGTTAACCCATGGTTTTGGTCCAAAAATGGCCACTTTTCCAACTGTTTTTTTTAGGCAATGTAGGCCAGAACAATGTCTTTTACGATATTCTAAAACGAAAAAACGACTTTCTAGACTATAAAAACAAGAAGTTCAAAAAGTCGAAAAATTGACATTTTTCCAAAAATGGCCAACCCATGGTTTTTACGTCCAAAAACGGCCATTTTACAAAAAACGAAGAAGTTCAAACAGTTTTTTTTTCCAAAGGGTTTTTTTCGTCCAAAAATGGACACTTTTTTAACTCTTATTTTTAAGAAAATATAGGCCGGGAAAATGTCTTTTACGATATTCTAGAACGAAAAAACGCCTTTTAAGGCTATAAAAACAAGAAGTTCAAAAACTCGAAAAATTGACTTTTTTCCAAAAGGGTTAACCCATGGCAGTCGGTCCAAAAATGGCCATTTTTCCAACTTTTATTTTTTAGAAAATACAGGCCAACAAAAAGTCTTTTACGATATTCTAGAACGAAGAAACGCCTTTCTTGGCTATAAAAAGAAGAACTTCAACAACTAAAAAAATTGACATTTTTCAAAAACCCATGGTTTTCGTCCAAAATTGACTTTTTTCCATTTTTAAGAAAATATAGGCCGGGAAAATGGTTTTTTTTAAGGTATAAAAACAAAAAAACTCGAAAAATTGACTTTTTTCCAAAGGGGTTAACCCATGGCAGTTGGTCCAAAAATGGCCATTTTTCCAACTTTTATTTTTTAGAAAATACAGGCCAACAAAAAGTCTTTTACGATATTTTAGAACGAAGAAACGCCTTTCTTGGCTATAAAAAGAAGAACTTCAACAACTAAAAAAATTGACATTAATCCGAAGGGGTTAACCCATGGTTTTGGTCCAAAAATGGCCATTTTTCCAACTTTTATTTTATAGGAAATAAAGGCCAAGAAAATGTCTTTTACGATATTCTAGGACAAAAAAACGCCTTTGCAGGCTATAAAAACAAGAAGTCAAAAAACTCGAAAAATTGACATTTTTCCAAAGGGGTTAACCCATGGTTTTGGTCCAAAAATGGCCATTTTTCCAACTTTTTTTTTTGGCAATATAGGCCAGAACAATGTCTTTTACGATATTCTAAAACAAAAAAACACCTGTGTAGACTTTAAAAACAAGAAGTTCTAAACCTCGAAAAATTGACATTTTTCCAAAGGGGTTAACCCATGGTTTTGGTCCAAAAATGGCCATTTTTTAAACTTTTATTGTTTAGGAAATACAGGCCAGGAAAATGTTTTTTACAACATTCTAGAACGAAAAAACGTCTTTCTAGGCTATAAAAACAAGAAGTTCAAAAAGCCGAAAAATTGACATTTTTCCAAAGGGGCTAACCCATGGTTTTGCTCCAAAAATTGCCATTT